TAATTTGGAAGCAGATATAAAAGGAGAAACCATATTCAATACACTGGAAAAGTTTTGTGATGAAAAAGAAATTCCTTTTAATAATATTTTTGCAGCTGCTGCGGATGGCGCAGTGGCTATGACAGGACATCAGAAAGGTTTCACCGATTGCTGCTTCATACAGAGGTGTGCTGGCTGTCTGTATGAAGCAGCAATTAAAAGGTACAGTCAAATACCGAAAATCTGCCAACTCCTGAAATCCGTGTTGCCTCTCAGAATATAAACATTCAGTTTATAGGTTCTGGAAACCGCAACATTGAGTACGAAATATCGAAGAAAAAAATACTTACCGAATAAATGACGTCATAATTATTGAATAATAATGAGTCAAAACGGAAATACCAAATTATTGATATAAAAAAGTTTAAAAAAATAAGATAAAATAAATAAGTTTTTTTTTTTCTCCCTCTAATCTACATCGAGGTAAAAAAGCAGACGATTCACTCAACTCTTTGTTCAAGTTCACGATTCACGTTGTTGTATTTTCTGAGCTTTGTTATTTCATTTCTCAAGATTGTTTAGTGCTCCCTTTTTTTTATCCAGATATTTTGTAGATAAATTAAGAGTATTTTAAATTTCAACCCTTTTTAATACAATGACAGATAAGAAAAGCTTTTGTAATTTTACTGCTTGCAACGTTGAAAAATGTAAACACGTTGCATTGATGGTAACGCAAATTCTGCAAAAGATGGAAGCAGGTGCTACTCTTAGATTTATAGCAGAATGGTATGGAATTGAGGCACGATTGTGTATGATATACGGAAAAATAAAGAAAAGCTGTTGAAATTTTACAGCAACAGTGATTCTAACACAGGAATCCGAAACCGGAAATCTTTGCATGAGGCGAAATCGGCAAATCTCGATGCTGTGTACATACAATACAATGAACAATATAATCAATTTATATATGTAATAATAATTTAATGCATATAATAAATTATTGCAATAATGTATATAATAATTTATTAAGTGTATCTAATACGTCTTATTCATTTTGCACTTTTAGTCTGAATATTATGCTTTTTCTTTTCTATCCTAAAATCCACACAACCTCTGGTCCCAAGCTTTGTGGATTTCTGGAATTCTACTGTACTTGTTTGACTTGATTTTACAATCTGTTTGGGTCTGTCATAGAGTTCCTAGGAAAGAAAGACACGGAACTGTGCAACAACCTCATCTCATCAAAGAACGATATTGTGTACTTGACTGATCTGTATAAATTGTTTGATGATGTCAACCTCTAACTTCAAGGTGACAATTTAAACTTAAGACAAAAAATAGCGTTGCTACTTTCATGTCAAAACTGTTATTATACAAAAGAAATATTAACAGATATGAATTCAATAACTTCCCAAATTTATGAGCAGTATCATTCAAGCATGATGACTTGAATGTTTACTGTCAACACTATGAAAACCTGCACAGAGATTTCAAGGAACAATTTCAGGACAATCTAAATATGGACATACCAGACTGGGTTTGGGATCCTTTTTTCAAATGTCAACACAGCGGGATCGTCCCAGTTAGAAAAAGAACTGATGACAAATGAAGAATTAAATTCAAGAAGGGCTACCAAGAATTTTGGCTGCAGAAGACTATTTTGCAACTGTGCCGAGTATTATGGTAGACTGTTTAACGAACATGGATTTAGTGCTGTAGCAATGTTGGTAACTAAAAAGAAAACAGCTTCATGTTACTGACTGCAATAATTTCATGAATGGTCACAAAAGACTGTGAAATAAAGACCACCTTCGCCTGCTCAATAGGCTGTGTGTATAACAAGTTAGTAACATGAACGAAAACTATATGATACAACCCTGCAAAAATACTGAAATCCTTAACATTTGTTGTATTTTGTAAAAGTATTTGAAATATTACAAATTATGATTAGTATTGCTGGAATATACAACTAAACAAAAATTGCACATTGTTATTCAATACACAAAATTTTATTGTATTTACAAGAAATAAAAATAATGATACTCAGATAATGAGATATTTTTGTAAAAAAAAAAAAAAAAAAAAAAAAAAAAAAAATCAAACCAGATGCCAATAAAAAAAAAAAGCACTTTTGGAAAAACACAGGTATGGAAGCCCTCTGTTGAAGCAGATGTATCTTGTAAAGAAAGATACCAAGTTGCTCTATGCAGATGAGTATGTGAACCCTCAAAGAAAAATGAAGAAATTTATTAATAAATTAAATAAAATAATATCTAGTTGTCATGAAAATTTACTGCTAAAAAACGTTCTTAATAAAGTTACGAAAAAAGCAACAACATGAAAGCAGTATTTTTAGTGAGGGTAGCAACTGTGATCATTGGAATAGTCACTACAATTAGCAACAGTTTGTAGGTCTCTGAAAACATAGTCTGCAAGTTGTTTTCTGTAATAAATTGTCGAAGACTAATGGTTCCAGTCATATTTCTGAAATCTGATCTTCTGTAAATTACTTCTAGTTCAGTTTTATGCCAAACCTTCTGTAGCATGAAATAAACATCAGTCGTTTGATCAAGATTCTGTGTTGGTAACTTTTTCTGATACTGCTGGGATTTTGAAGCTTCAGGGAAAGAAACAAGTGAGTACTGAGTAATAAAACGAAATCTCTCTTTTACTTGATTCATGATAACATCACATACGTCTTTAGCTGCTATGGTTCTATTTATGTGAATATTTTCTCTCTTCCTTTTTCATAAGGTTTCACGTGATTCTTATATCTCCTCTGTCACTATATCCATTCTTTTCCTTTCTTTCTCTGATGACTGCTACTTGGTTTCTAATGAGTGCCGCATCAAATACTGTTTACTAAAGTTGGTCGTATAACATATTGACATGTGGCATAATATTCTGAAACGCTGTAAGCCAAAACACAAATTCTAAATTTCCCAATCTGTGATTTTTTTGTCAACATTTTGGTAGTTTTTCAAAGCCAGAAACTTGGTGTCCGGTAGTCCAAAACACATCAACCTCATTTCAAACGTCTTGTGCAGAATGGAAGACAGCACCAGCAAGATGTAACTGCAGGTGTGAAAAAAGTTACGATGTAGGGGCTATATATGGTGGGTGTGGCAAAAGATCCTATTCGAATCTGTCCAGCCGGTGAATGCAGATACATGTGGTCTGGCATAACCTTCATGGAACATTACCTTTCTGTGCTGGAACACAGTGCAAATGGAATGGCATCACTGATGCCAATATTCGGTTAGTTAATTTTTTTTTCCTTCTAATTTTTTATCGTTATCAGTTTTAGATATATATTTTTTTACGAACTAGTGTAAACAGTTAAGATGGCATTTAGTAAAATCAGTGTTTCAGAATTAAAACAATTACATTAATTTCAAGATTGTTCTTTAGAAAGAAAAATTGAAATAAAATTATTCAGGCCAACAATACCTTTGGTAAATATAAAATGAAGATGTAAAACTAGATGTAATGATGAAATATAAAACTAGCAATTTCAAAAGGCAATTCAAACCTGATTTATGTGAAAAATGTTCATGGATTTGTGGATGTGAATTAACAGGCTGTTTTGTTTTCCATGTCTTCTGTTTACATAACAGTGTGAGTTACAGCGTTGCTGATTTATCACATCTAACTCAGAAAATTTTAAAACTCACAATCACATTTAAACTCAATCTTAGAATTTAATTCGCAAAGAAAGGTGAATATTCACCAACAACTCGACGGTATATTTCATTCAAATGTTAAGAGACGCAGTGAGAAGGTTGTAAAAAATCATTCTTCTAAAAAAAATATTGAATGCATTCTGTTTTGCTGTTCATTCGAGCTTATATTTTGAGGACATGATGAATGCAAGGTTTCATTACATCAGAAAGTTTTATCAATTTTTCAGCAGAACTTGATTTGTCTCTTAGAGACTATCTCATTAGCACCAATGTTTTTAAAGGAACATAAAAAAAAATTTAAAAAAAAAAAAATTAAAAAATGATTAGACTGCATGTTTATTGTTTGTCAGAACCACATAAAAACTGAAACCTCAAAAGCAAGTTTTGTTTCAGTAATAGCGAATGAAACTACTGATGTGTTATCCACTTTCCAATTGGTCATCGTTTTTCAATACATTTTAAGTAATGGACAACCATTTGAGACATTTTGGGGATACCAGAATCCACTTGGGCATGATGGGAAATCTATAGCTATTCACATAAATAGAACAGTAGCAGCTAAAGACGTATGTGATGTTATCATGAATCAAGTAAAAGATTTCGTTTTATTACGCAGTACTCACTTGTTTTTTTCCCTGAAGCTTCAAAATCCCAGCAGTATCAGAAAAAGTTACCAACTCAGAATCTTGATCAAACAACTGATGTTTATTCCATATTCAAGTCTAGAATGAATAAAGACATTTTTAAGAAGCACTATGAGCGAGGATGGACTCGCTCTAGCCATGCCCTCAATTGAAAAAAAATCATGATAAATGACATACCTAAATGAAAACATTGATTTGTTTGCATCAAAAAAAGACAGATGAGTGGGTTTAATTTACAAAAATTATACTTGACTATTTTATAATAAGTGTTCAAAGATATATTGTATGCAACATTATGATTTTATTACATTCCATTGTAAAAAATAAAATGTTACAATTGTTTTGCATACGAGAACTTGTTTTCTTTTAGTTGCATTGCTTTCCTTTAACTTCTGAAAATGTGAATGTATTTTAATTTGTAAGTTACATCATATCTGCATATTTAATTTTTTTTGTGAACCTTCATTTAAATAACCGACAAGCCATCACTACTTAGCAAAATGTTATACACAAAGTATTGCATCTAAAAATACTTTTGATATAAGTTATACATAGTCAACTCCCATATTACTGAGGACAGTGTCCACAGTTAACTCAAGATTCTAATTAATCCAAAGACATTTAAAAAAATAATAAAAAGGAATAACCATTTTATAATTAACAAAAAAAAAAAAAAATACTATCAACAGATTACCTTAATACATTCAAGCAGTTTAATCTGGAACATAATCTTTTGGTTATGGCAATTAAATCAGCACTCAAAACACACAGAGCACACTGTAAAGAATATAATAAACAAACATCATTAGACATGAAGGAAAAAAAAATATAAATGACTATAGTTTTTAATTAATTATATTTAAGGCAAATTTGGTTAATTGAAACTTATTTGTGTATCCTTTTATAATACTTCTGATTAAAAATGAAAATATATTAATCATCAAAATTACTGTTTGATTCATAAACATGTGCTGCATTGCTACATTACAGATCTATGTTACTTTTCTTACAGGTAATATTTTAATATTTTCAGAAAACAATAAACAAATTATTAATAATTTGTTACATTTTAACACACTATTTTAATTTTTCAGTTAAAAATATGCATTTCATCAGCAAGGCAGTTGTAGATTTTATCAACTATGAGTGCAAATACTAAATATTAAAATAGATAGCTTAGCTTAACATTAAATTCTAGATGGCAGGTTTTTGTACATCCCGTTTTAGGTAATATGTTAGGTATATAAAAAATTTGTATGGTGCACAAGAAAATGAAAGTTTAGCTTCTATGAAATTATACAAAAGGTCCGCTTTTCTTCTGCCTCATCTGCTGAATATTCTGATAGTTCCTCTTCATCAAAATCAAAAGCAGAATCATATTCCACATTTTCTTCAGTATGCATTTCCGGTTGCTGACAACAAGATATTTGTTTTACTAGCAAACTGGAATTAATTTTCCAAGGATCAGGCTCCTGAGTATCAAATGCCTAAACAAAATAAAATATTCAATAAAAGCAATTTATTTTCTCATGATACAGTACTTAAATAAAAACTTGTAAAATCAGTAAATTACAATCAATTAGTAAAAACTTTTAAAATCAGAAAATTACATTCATCAAGTTACCCAGATGTGATTTTTCAACTTTATAATGCAATTTACCATGCAACAAAATCCCAAACAATATTCATTCTGCATTATTTTTCCATTTTATTTCATCACTGTGAAGAAGTGAAAATGAAAATATCCTCTTAATCAAGGGAAGAGAAACATATCAATAAAAAATTTAAATAGACTAAAAAGCAACATTTGCTATTCGAAACCTATGCCAAAACAAAGTTGGTGCCTAATGAAATATCATCTTGTTTTGTGGAACTATTTTATACCCTTTAAAATATATGATTCATATTTATTATTTAATTTTATACAGCATTTGCTTGTAAATTGCAAACATAATATTCTAAATAAATTAAGCTTCTTTGAATATTTTTTGCTATTTCCATCAGAAATTCTTCATCATTTAATACGGCATATGCACATTTATTGGATTTCATGTTATGTGCAAACCACATAGTTTCCCATACTATGTAGAAAGCACTGTAAAATTTATGCCACAGTTAAAACATTTGCTCATTTTTTAGCTAGGTAATCTAATTTCTTCAGTCCACTTCCAGAAGTGTTGAGGGTGTTCTAAAACAACAGCATAAAGTTGTCTTACTGTTTCTAGATTCTGCTTCTGCAGCAAACAAATTAAAAGGATGCTTAAGGATTTATGATATATATATTTAATTACACCTCATAAATGTTTATGCATCCTATATTAAATCCACAGTAACATAAACTATAAGCTTCCAAGAATGAATTGGCACTAATGATTTGGATGTTGTTTATTTACAAACGATTGTTTATAATACAGAATACGTCTCAGATGAATACTTGAAATTTATATAAAACTGTAAAATTACATATTGAAAAAGCTGATTTTAGATGCATAAGATATCTATAAGAGCAGAAAATAAAATAATTCATATTTTAATTATTTTTGTTACTACTCATCATTTTCCTAAAAAGACCTCGGATCTGCCTCTATCCCACAAAACTGGGATAGAGCTGGGCAAATCTGTACTGTCATTTACAAAGTTCTTAAAATCTTGGCCAACAAAAGGAGAACTATTTTCTCCCCCCCCCAGTCTTGATAAAATATGTAGAACTGATCTGAATTCCAATCCAAAATCAAGATCATAAATGCATAAGATGTGTCACAATCCACTGTTTATTTTATTGGTAAAGCTTCAGCAAAAGGCTATTAATCGCTAATTTTACGAAATCAAAATTATACATGGGATAATGATGGCTCCTACACCTGCTTAATTATAAGCTACTTTTTGTTTCAGTCTTTTTAGAAATAATGTATACGATATTATCAAAAAATTGCAAAGCATTTCTAAAAAAATTTTATTCAATACTTTTCATGAAGTAAATTTCTCTTCTCCCTCCCCCCCCCAAAAAAAAAGAAGAAAAATTAAATGTTATATAAAGAACATAAATTCATACTTAATAATTACAAATGAACACCATATTTGTGAAACAACTAGAGAAAAAAGTTCATTCTGTGTTATGCGGTAGGTAACTGTGAGTATAAGTCACTTATCTGAACATATCAATCATTATTGTAACAATAACATACTAAGTATTGTGAGCAGTCATAGTGAAACATTAAAACAAAATATGTAAACAAATCAATAATTGCGTTGTGAAAATATTGTTAACCCGTTCTATGTTTAAGGTCCGGTGTAAAAGATAATTACAATAAATACAGACAGGAGAATAAAATCAACTTACGTTTATTTAAGGTAGGAAAATATTATGATTACAAAACATAAAAGAGAGTCATGACCTCACTAAACATTTCATTTAAAACGTGGTGGCTGGATATCAATTAAAGAACTTTTAATGTGAAATCACAACAGACTAAAGGATGACATACCCTTCTTTAACATATTAGGGATCCTTCATATATTTGAGTTTTGTTAGCGAAACTTATTTCTCGGAGAAAAACTTGGGATAGTATCTGAAATTAGAAAACAAAAAGGGTTAGATTGACGAGACTCCACCAAGCTATTGGTTCGGAGGCCAGGCCTTTGGCCAGGCTTCCCTCCTATTACTGTTTCCAACCAGCAGGACACAGGTCTTCCCTCCACAGGCCATCATGACAGAGTAAATTTTAGGATTTTAGAAATATAGGTGTTGCAGCCTCTCTTCGGTGTTGGTTAATTTACGTTGCTACGTCTAAGATGAGGCTCACCTCCGAGCTGCTCGTCCAAGTTGTCATCTTATAAGTTCTCGTGAAATTTCTTTTTCCGTCTCTCTTCTGTCATCTCCATCACTGTCCCCGTCTCTCCCGAAACCTCTCGAAAAACACTGCGCAGCCGTTTTAGTAGCTGGCGCGTTTTTTGAAAACTTGGCGTAGATGGTGACTAGCAGGAAGCCAAAAAAAGGCAACCCACACTCTGGATCTTCACGGGAAGGGGTTTCTCGCCTATCAAAAGGAGCCATTTCTCGCCATTCCATCCATTCATCGTTCAACTTCCAAGGCCACACCAATGTGTCATCACAACTGCAGGCGGAAACAAGGGGGAAGAAACTAGCTCCGCTCCAGGGTCCCAGTCGATAATGCAGATCTTCTGTCTCAATGTTTATTTTCGCCCACCATAAGTATGCTGTAGAACATCACCCTGCTAGCCTGGTCCAGCAAAACAGGGTCCCCTTTTCGTGAAACCCAGATGGTAAAACCATGGAGGTAGGAAGTAAGATGGAGTCGCCCTAAACAAGTTTCTCCGTACCCTGCTCTGAAGCACCGGCGATCCCTACGTGGTGACCAAAACATTGGGTCATTTAATTCAATGGGATTTGACGCGTTCGGATGCAAATATTTTGTAATTACGTCGTAAATATACATATAAATGTATATATTTTCTTTTTCTACAACACTTCAGAGTCCTAAGTATGTGAAAACAACATATTTTTAAACAACATTTCATTCTGAACGGAATTAAATGCTATACTTTTCACAGGACAGTTTTCTCAGAATGGTTTAATTTGAATGAAATATTTTCACAAGTTTTCGTTAATTACATTAGAAAAAAAAAATTAAGGTAATTCGATTTTATTCAGTTAAGGTACAAAAATTAAGATCAAAGTTTATTGTATTATTAATATTAAAATTATGCATTATTTCTTTTCTATTTATAGAGCTTCTTCCTAAAATACTTTCTTAAATATGACATGATTTTTTGGCTTCTTTTAAATCGAAAAATGTAAGTCAATTTATAATTAATGCTCTATTCGGTTCATTTTAAATTAGAGAATTATTAGGAATTAGCGAAATACTTTAAATAAGTATTTCGCTAATTCCTAATAATTAAATAGGTATTAAATAGTATTTGACTTTCTCTGAACATTTCTGAAAGGGAATAAAATAAGTTTTTTTTTTTTTTTTTTAAGTATTATTTAAAACTTGTAACTGAGTTATTATAAAATGTAAAGGGAATAATTCTTTTAATTATACTTATCAGATTTTTTTTTTTTTTTTACCCTTCATTTCAACAATACATATTCCAAAACTCTTTATTACGTTCTTAAGTGCGCATCTCATAGCATTTGCTTTACAATACCTTTTAACAGATTGCTTTCCAATACGAACAATTCTTGCTTAAATAGTTTTTATAACGTATTTGTCAACAGGATTTCAATTTATGTTTACAATTCAATATTAAGGTTATTATATATTTAGATAACATTTATAATCATTATAAATTAGATACATTTAATCATTAGATTTCTTCACAGTACTTTCACAGTTATTTATAAGTGAATAAATTCTTCATTTCAAATACATTTATAAATAATTTAATGAATATTTAAGTATTTTGTCAAAGGCAGATACATGCTTTTTGCAAGCACATGCATAAATACCCATACATATTTCCTATTTATCATTTCCGGCATGTGCAAATCTTTAATTTCTGTGCATTCACTATATTTTTCGTGTAAAGTAATTTACACTAATTTAGCATACACCCGAAAGTTTTACATAAAAAATATATATGAATATAATTTGAATGAAAATTATAAGTATTATTTTTAATACCCACTCAAAGGTCAGTTTTTCTTCAAAATTCCTCCACGATGGCATCTCTCTCTTTAGGCAGATAGCCCTTGCATGCGTTACTCTATTTAATAGAAACTTAATCTGACCTATGTGCCTAATTACAAATATTTTAACATACGTAATTTTATATTTACATTTAGCCATCAAGTTTCAAACTTTTCAAATCTTCTAGAAAATAAATTTTGGCAGATCTCTTTTAGCAAGTTTCTTAAAATCTATATTTTTGTAGTGCAACAGCTTAGAATTTCATAAAACAAATTCATAATCAAAATCGCTGTTGTTAGTTATCGAAAAATAACCAAGATGTGATTTTTGCGTAAATGTCAGTAAACTATACAAATTGCTATTATCCATCACACTATGAATGTTTTCTTTCATGCGAGAGTGTCCCTTTTTCGATTTCTATGGAACTGTCGTGTGTCGAAATACTATCAGAATCTTGTCAAGCGAGCTTCTGAATGTAAACAAAGAACACCCTGTCTGGTGACCCAAGCTTCAAAGCAGTGCTTCACTTCTAGCGCAGAATGGCCCCTCCTCCCTTTCCTACCTCCATGGGTAAAACTATCAAGCACTTTCGCCCCCCAAACATGGTGGAACGCTTAGCCGAAAGGAATTTTGGGGTGCAGTACAACTGCTGATAAGAATTTCCGCTGAAGGAAAGAGGGCAAGGGGTGAAAATCTCTGAACTAAGTTAATACAGGATGACTTTGGTAAATTAAATAAAAATGAAGTTTCTAATTACACAACATTATAATACATAATAAAAATGTCAGCACTGTAATAATTGTTTCCTCAGCCACCAATTGAGACTAAACACAATTTATCCAAAACAAATACAAATAGAATCAAATTATTTTTCATCTACCGCCAGTCAGAAAGTATGTATTCGTTTAACGTTAAAAGATAAAGGATACCAATTAAATTACTCAAAGTTAAGAAAAAAAAAATTAACACACAAAGGTGCAACAGCAAAGTTTAAAATAAAAATTAAAGTTAAAAGTTAAACAACCTTAAGGGTCAAAACAAGTAGAACAAAAACAAAAATCTAAAGTCCCTAAACTCAAATTAAAATTAAACAACTTCAACTCAGAACTTTTAAAAGCAACCTAACCAAAAACTTAAAGTTTACAAAAGTTACAATTTAAACTTACAACCAACTTTAAAAAACAAAACACACACACACACACACAAAAAAAAAAAAAAAAAAAAAAAAAAAAAAAATTAGAACTTCAATTACAAATCAAAACTGAAATAAGCAAAACAACTTAAGCTTAAAAAAATATATATATAACGATTAATACATAACATAAATAACACAGCATCTTACTTTTGTTTTTAGTCTGTTAAGTAGCTTCATCATAATTGGGTTGTCTTGCTTGTCTTTAAAATCAAGAGGTTCCTTATTCTTCTGAAAATTATCATCTGAGTTAGCAAGCAGTTATAAATATTCACAGTATAAGATGAATACTCTGATTATATTATAATTTTATTATTGATATATAAACATTTTAAATAATGTTTTTGAGCAAATAAAAATATAATACATATCATTAGCACCATGCCCAAAATCAACATAATTGCATTCTCTCCCCTTCTATATTAGACAGCAAAGCATGCAATTTTATATATTTTTTTATGCAAAATCTTCCTAAAAGAGACAAATGTATTTTCTTGAAACAAATTTGCAGATTCTTGTACTGGCTTGGCGCTAAAAAATATTACTGAAATATTTATTGATGAGGAGCAGAAAGTTATTTTGAAAAAGGCAAGTAATTATTTAAGGAAAGAATGTAAACTCTTATCTTTACTGAATACTTCCCAATGGAAATAACTATGCATTTAAGGAGTGCACGGAAAAAAAAAAAAAACATCCATGCTTCAGCCTGTTCTGCTAATACAAATCTACAGCTGAGGCTTAACACTTAAAAAGATAAAGCACTTTTAGTGAATTATTAGCTGCATAATTCATTCATTAAAAGAAATTTATGCAAATGAATTTAAAATTTGGTACAAGTGCTGCAACAAGACTTTAAATGACATTTGGTGTTTTTATGCAAAAAATTTATTTAGTTATTATGCAGAAAAATTATTCATTTGCTAAGTATTTTAGAAGAGTAGTTTAATATCTACTTTATTCAAAAATTTTATAAGTTATAGGTTTGAAAGTTTTTCTTGTAGGTGTCTCGAAAGATTTCACAGATCTCAGTTTAAGAACTTAATGAAATACAGCTGACTTTTATGCTGCAACAAATATTTATGTAACAGTAAAACTAAACAAAATTGACAATTTTTGGAGCTCCATAAAAGCTATATATTAATAAAAAAAAATTCGTTTTCACCAGTTTCAGTAAAAATCCCGGAAAGTAATTCCCCTTCCGCCTAAGTTTTTGCTGAATGAAAAAGTATTATACATCATGCTGCTAACATTGGGCCCTTCTCATATTTTTAGCTGGTAGTTTATTAAGAACAACTGAATGCATTATAAATAAAAAGGAGAGAAAAGTATATTGATTTGATATACAGTCAAAAGTCGTTAATCCAGACTCGCCGGGACTTCGGCGATTCCGGATTATAGATCATCAGTTTAAATCTCGTAGGATGGCATGCAGAAATTCTAAAATTAAAAATATGAAACCGTAATTTGTGAAATAAAGAACAATTATGATCTAAAGGGTATCAAAATTTGCAAAAAGAAAAAGCTTAATATTTATTTGTTTACTTTATTAAACATTTCTTTCAATGTAAGTTGTTTTAAGTTTTGCTTCGTTTCATGTGATAATACTTTCTCTTTAATTCTATTAAACAGACATAATTTCTTGTTCAGTTACAAAGTTCCGCTGTTCAAGTCCTATAATTGCTGTGTCGAGAACACCGACTAATTTGTCAATCGAAATTTTTTCGTTTTCAATAACCTCTGTCACTTTTCTTCACTATCGGAAGCGAATTATAATGACGAGGAACTTGTTTTAAATCATATCAAAAACGGAGCATATCGAGATGAAATACTACATTTGGTAAAGAAATTATAAGCCTAAATAAAATAAAAAACATCTGCGCTGAAGATAAGGATAGTGTTGACAGATCAACTTCCAATTCATTACGTCGCGGCGTTCCCCCCGCCGAGCAGCGTGAAATTGATAAACAGATTTCAGATTTCAAAACATACTTTCGCTTTAGATCCTTTACATATTAACAAATATATATCGGAAATTCTATTTGATATAATCGAAAGTTTAAGCTTACTTTTATAAAATTGCTCTTACAGTCTGCAAAAAATAATAAGCCGGATCCAATTCGAAAATTAAGGAACAACGCAATCATCAACATTAACTGAAATAGATAATTAGATAATTTTAGCTTATACGTCCATTATATATAAAACGCGTATGCGAAAACGTATTCTGCACTTGCACACACTCATATGCGCAGTCGTAAAAGGTCTTACGCCCACGCGCAAACGCCTATGCGCATGTGTCAACGCGGCGCATGCGCAGAAAGTTTTTAGTTTTGAGGTCCGGATTATAGATCATTCCGAATTATGGGTGTCCGAATTAACGACTTTTGACTGTATACATAGACTTCAATAGAGACCATCAGTAAAATAGAATACTCTCAGAATTGAAATTTTCATACAAATCTCTTCAAATTATTGTCTTCATAAAAACATAAATAAATAATGTATCAAGAAATGATTATGTAAATCTGAAATCAGAAATCAGTAAAAATCTTTGATCAAAATATTTTGATTGTTGCAAATATACATATACACAAAATTTATAATTATAAAGTAAATAAATATATAAAAATATTTAAATTACTTACAAGAGAGGTACATATACTGGGTTAGCATATTGCTTGATAGTATGAAGATAAATGAGTGGAAAATTTGGTAACATAAGTATTCAGTTATTTTATTTTTACACTTTTTAAAGAGCTGTTGTTTAAAAAGTGAAGAATAGAATTTAATTTCACAACTTATGTACTTTCTATGGGCTGTACTTTTACAAAAGAACTGCACACTACATTCTGACAAAAAAAAAAAAAAAAAAAAAAAAGTGTGGGGAAAAAATTATCCAATGGAATAGAATTTGGTAGATGTGATGTATGGAAAAACAAACATTTAAAATTTCAGAAAAACTGAGTGGATTACTCAGGGGATACAGCTGCATAGAGCTAAAAAATTAATAATGTGTTGACCCACTTCTGACACTTATGCAAGCTGTTATCTCGCTTGGCACAGACTCCTAGAGTTGCTGGATAACTTCATTCAAGATTTCTTGCCAAACTCTTTTCATTTGTTGAGTTAGATTGATGATGGTCTGGGATGATGAGAGGCACCTTAGCAAACGTTATTGGGAAAGAATTAGAAATCTAGCTGCCCAGCAAAAGTGTTTGACAAAAATGAAACCAACCAATAAAAATAATTGCCACATGCATTATCTTGTTGAAATATAAACTTGGGATGCCTTGGAAGAAAAGGCAATGCAATGACGCATAGAATATCATTAATATACTGCCATGCTGTAAGGCTGTCATGGATTCAACTATCAGATGAAATAGCACTTTAGTTCCACAACTTCCTATAGCTGAATTGTGTGATAGGCAATAGTTAAGTCAGTATCTCACATCTGTTCTGAACATCTCTATAAATGCTTTCAGTGCTCATAATGACCCCCTTCAAAGAAGGCCTCATTGCAATTTGGGCAGTTCTGTTTCAATCGGAACAAGTCAGGCACCATCACACACTCATACTTGTCAGGGTGCACCACTGGGAGGTGGTTAGTGTAATGAACAATGGAAGTGCAGATGTACATTCTCTGAGTCACCTGGTCGCTCCAGCCAGTGGCATCACAGTTACTCCTCAGATCACTGTTGATGACAAATCAAGTACTGCTCTAACCATCATTCTGTCATCTCACTAGATCAACCACTGCTCTTTTGATGCTGTGTTCTGTCATGATTCAATCATTCCTGCCAACATCATTGAATGGCAGCAGGATTTAAAAATGCTGAGTGATCCTTTGATTTGACCATCCTGCTGCTTTTAGGCTGATTGCGTACCTCTTTTCAACTGGCTCATACTGCATGTGAACCTATGTACGAGGGCCATCCAGGAAGTAGATTACGTTTCCGTCTGTGTCCGCTAGGGGCGGGGCTAGCGCGGCCATCTTGGGGTCAGAGCGTTGCGCAGCTCAGTCTGCATCTAGCCGTGCTAGTGAGAGGTTCGTGCTGTGCTCCGTTCAGATACTGTGACGGTTTGAAATGTCTGCGTTAATTGAAAATCCCGCGAGCTGCGAGGTGCGCTCAGTAATAAGGTTTCTGACTGCAAAAAACTGTAAACCGATAGAAATCTATCGGCAGCTTCGTGAAGTGTATGGGGACAACATTATCACTGAAGGTGGAGTGCGTCAGTGGGTCATAAGATTTCAAAATGGCCGAACCAATGTTCACGACGAAGATCGAAGATGGAAGTGGGAGACCCAGCATAGTGACCGCCGAACTTCTCGAAAAAGTCGATGCTAAAGTCCGTGAAAATCGAAATTTCACAATAACGGAACTTTCTTTGAGTTTTCCACAAATTTCGCGAAGTTTGTTGCACGAAATCATCAGCGAAAAGCTTGGTTACCACAAGTTTTGTGCAAGATGGATTCCAAAAATCTTGACAGAGGACCACAAAAATCAGCGAATGGCTGCAGCGTTGAACTTTTTGGACGCTTACCATAAGGATGGTGACTCTTTACTCGTACAGTCCCGACCTGGCACCGAGCGACTTCCACCTATTCCCAGCAATGAAGAAGTGGCTGGCTATGCAGCGTTTTGATGACGACGCACAGCTGCAAGAAGAGGTAACGAAGTGGTTGAAGGCGCAGGCGGCCGAATTTTTCAACGAAGGAATTTCCAAGCTCGTACATCGCTACGATAAATGCCTTAATTTGTATGGTGACTATGTAGAAAAGTAGTATTTGAGTGTGGCTTTCATCTGTATATAATAAAATTTGTTTCCTATACTTTGTTTATTTTTTTATTCCAAAACGTAATCTACTTTCTGGATAGCCCTCGTACGAAATACTGGTACAGTCGAAGTGAATTTGAATAGAAGTTGTGCCCTAGAGGTGGAATTTTTTTTTTATACACCATCCAGATGCTCAATTTTGAAGTTTTGTATCTTCTGCTATTCATTCACTAGCCACCAAATTTAGATCATTTGCATGTTAGATTGAATGGTTCATTCGCATGCAAAATTTCATTACAATCAGGTAACGCCTTCTTGATGTGTACTTTTTTCCTTAGCTTTCCTATCTAGTTTCTCATATAAAAGTTCTATGATAAAATAAATGATATTATTCTATAGTATGATAAATTTTGATTTTTAATACTGAATAGACATACTTTATCTAGCACATGTTCTGAACATCCATAACTAAGCAGCATATTTTTAATTTCTTTTGCTGTAGCTCTGGCATATGCATAATGAAGAGCTGTTCGATGGTTCTGAAAATAAAATAGATTTGATACTCAATATAAGTTTTTCTATCAAAACTGCATTCAAATAAATTTGAAAATTAGAGATTGATACCAGCAGGAAGTCTTTTCCCAAACAGTCAACAAAACTTCAAAAAATTATGAAAAGTACATACTAATAAATAAACAATAAAGAGTAATTTAATATTTATTTTCAAAGTTTATATTATCATTATTAACAAGTTTTACTAATCACTTTATTAAATCGTAATTTAATAAATTAAAATACTTATATAATTATTTAATAAAATATTAAACAATTTATTCATTTTTAGTTCATACAGTCAAAAGTCGTTAATTCGGACACCCATAATCTGGAATGATCTATAATCCGGACCTTAAAGCTAAAAACTTTCTGCGCATGCGCCGCGTCGGCACATGCCCACAGGCGTTTTACGCGTGCGCGTAAGACCTTGACTACTGCGCATATGCGTGTGCGCAAGTGCAGAATACGTTTTTGCCTGCGCGTTTAATGTATAACGGACGGTGTAAGCTAAAATTATCTAATTATCTATTTCAGTTAATGTTAATGATTGCATTGTTCCTTAATCTTTGAATTGAATCCCACTTATTATTTTTTGCAGACTTTAAGAGCAATTTTATAAAAGTAAACTTGAACTTTCGATTATGTCAAATAGAATTTCCGATGCTGGAACTTCCAAAGGATCTACAAAACGAAAGTATGTTTTGATGTCCAACAAACAAAAAGTGGAATTGCTGCAAAAAATGGAGAATGTGACAGAGAGGTTAGTGAAAACGAAAAAATTTCGATTGACAAGTTAGTCGGTATTCTCGGCACAGCAATTAACGGGACTTGAACAGCGGAACTTTGTAACTGAACAAGAAAGAATGTCTTTTTATAGAAGTAAAGAGAAAGTATTATCACATAAAATGAAGCAACTTAAACAACTTACATTGAGAGAAATGTGTAATAAAGTAAATAAATATTAAGCTTTTTTTTTTTTTTTTTTTTTTTTTGTTGTAAATTTTGATATTCTTTAGATCATAATTGTTCTTTATTTCATAAATTACGGTTTCATATTTTTAATTTTAGAATTTCTGCATGCCATCTTACGAGATTTAAACTAATGATCTATAATCCGGAAAAATCGATAATCCGGAATCGCCGAAGTCCCGACGAGTCCGGATTAACGACTTTTGACTGTATATTGTCATAATATATACATACAATGTTCACTTTCAAATCCTTATGCATTTTTAAACTTTTAATTTAATGTTAAAGCAGCAGGAACAAGATCTATCAATAGGCAAGTGATTATGCAATGTTGATTCAAACTTGCAACATTTTCTAGGAGCAAATTGAAAAAGTTAAAATTTATATCTCAATGAAGCAAGAAAAGAAGTTTTATTTACGAAATTTTAGAGTGTTCTGTGTTCAGTACAGACAGATATGTAGTTTGTATATAACATATAAATATGTATACACACATGTAAATAAATATGTATACATAGATGACTAAAATATACAATATGGAAAGGATTTAGTTATATGAATATTTTCCTTTCTGTCATCACTCCTCTGTACCTGTGGATTTAATTAATGCGTTATGAAAGTTGAAAGTGAGATGATCAACGAGAGTACATCAGTAGAGCTGGTAATATCGCACTTTGTGTGATAACTCAGCCTTAATTCCATATTGATTTCGGTTTTAGTTCTGAAATATTTGGAGGAAATACAGATAGAAAAATAATAAACCATTTAATTACCTATATAACTCAATGGCTATCAAGTGCATGGTTAGAGTTCAGAAACTGGTAAATTACAGCAGAAAAATTTAAGAAAAAAAAAAAAAAAAGGATTTTTAGAATAACAGTAACTGACAAAAAATTTATAAGAATAAACAACATTTTAATGATGAAGTGAACAGACATTGAAGGGAACATGTCAGCCATGGAACAGGAGTTCTGTAGATATTTTATCTTCTGACTTTAGGCTTTTACATGATTGGTAATTCCTTTTTTTTTTTTTATTATGTGAATGCATTTTATGAATAAACTTTTCTGTTATACTACAACACACATACCTTCAGTGTAATGCTAGTTTTAAAGCAGAACAACAAAATATTTAAGAAGCTAACAACGCTTAGATGTATGGCATTTTAGTTATACCTAATTTTTATTTATTTAAGAGAATTCTGTAGCATCACCTTGTTTGCATTAAACAATACTATTGCATAAAATTGCAAATACATGTTTGATACAGTACTTTGAAAATATATGAAAATGATATTGTTACGAAATACACAGGCACGGTGAGATAGCTTCCCCTGCAAAGAAGTTTTAGGGTTGCTATAAAATAACAAGGAAGTCAGGTTTGCCACATTTGGCAAGAAATCGCCCATTTAGTGACAAAATCGGCGATATGCCATGGACGGATGGAGAACCTTCTGGAACAAATTCTTACTGGTTTGAACACCAACCATAAGCTATATAAACCCTGCAGGCACGTGGAGAGTCAGTTAGTATCGAGTTGGTGTCTCGTCTAGCGAGTCAATTGAGTTGACAGCTGGGCAGCGAGTGTCAAGTGCACCAAAAGAGTCTAGTAGTGTATTGCAGTTAGTGCATCGTCAAGAGAGCATGTTGAGCTTTGGGAATGTCAATACTACTTGATGCAGTATTGAAACTCACTTTATTTATCAATATTAATCAGGACAATTCCAAAACATGTTTTTACAGTCGTCGATGAACTTCTATAAACACGCTGACACTAACAGCGACACAACCTTCAGGTTATCAGGCTATGGTGGAGACAACTTAACGGCAAATCACTAGAGTACAGCTCCCGACTCTGTTTGGTCATTCCAGGAACTCCACATACTCTCGAATCTCTCCACACTACAACTCGCAATGCACTCAAAGACACACAGAGCACAGCTCCCGACTCTTCAACGACTGAACTGAAGAGTCAGGAGCTGTGCTCTGTGTGTCGTCGAGTGCATTGCAAGTTGTAGTGTAGAGAGTCTGGAGAGTACGTGGAGTTCCAAGAACGAACGAGCAGAGTCGGGAGCTGTCTCCACCATTATTGCCTGATACTGTGAAGGCTGAGTCTATCTAGTTGACAGCCGGGCAGCGAGTGCTGAGTGGGTCGTCGAATGCACCGAAAGAGTCTCGTAGTGTATTACAATTAGTGCAACATCGAGAGAGCCTGTTGAGCTCTGGGAACGACTGAACCGAAGAGTCGGGAGCTGTGCTCTGTGTGTGAGTGCATTGCGAGTTGTAGTGTGGAGAGTCTCGAGAGTACGTGGAGTTCCTGGAATGACCAAACAGAGTCGGGAGCTGTACTCTAGTGATTTGCCATTAAGCTGTCTCCACCATAGCCTGATAACCTGAAGGTTGTGTCGCTGTTCGTGTCAGCGTGTTTATAGAAGTTCATCGACGACTGTAAAACGTGTTTTGGAGTTGTCCTGATTAATATTGATAAATAAAGTGAGTTTCGATACTGCATCAAGTAGTATTGACATTATTCACTCGAAATCCTCACAAACCCTGTATGAACGTGAAGGAAGAAAATAACGTAACAACTGGTGTCAGAAGAGAAAAACATAACAATATACTAACACTTGGTGGCCTTTGAATATTCCCTTTTTCTTTTGCTTCCAATATATAACAAAGGAGAAGCATTATGAATTGGTTCTAATGTATAGTGAAAATATTGTAGGATATGCATATAATATTCTAGCACCAAAGGCATCACTGAAGTATGCAGATTGTAAAATCAATATTTCCCTCGGAAGCACTATAGTATTAAATGAGATATGTGCATAATTATCAATTTTTATTTATCTGATTTTTAACATGTATATAATATTATACAAATCAGAATTTTTTTGAATTAAATAGAGAGTGCTCTATAGCAGTGGTTCTCATCATTTTTTGTTGTATGCACTTCTTTCCCCACTACTAAACAATCATTACCCCCTTAATAAAAAACTTGAAAAATATACATATATCTATCTAAATTTAAATCATTTTTAATGTGTTTTAATGCATTTGTTAATAAATTAAGCAAAAAAAGTACAGAAAATTCTGATTGATACCAAAACTTAAAATAAAAGTTTTTTATATTCATAAAATAAAAATAAATACTTAAGAGGTAAATAAAAGGCTGAACACATTCTCCCTCTGAAATTATGAAGTTCAACCCTGGAGGAGAATTCCCCTCCCTAGTTGAGAATCCGTATAGCTTTGTAACTGAAAATTTCTACATATCTTGTTTCATTTTGGGGATAGAAATTCTCTATTTTCAGTTTGCTGCTAAAGCTATAATAAAAATTTTGACTTGCAATGTTTATTTCCTTTTCTTTACAACAAATTTTATTTTAACATTTCTAGCACATTTCAACCAAAACTTGAAGAAATGCATAAAGGAATCATGCATATAAAATGGTTCCCACATCTATCTCAATTTCAACTACTTCATACTTCTTTTAAAATATTATTCATCATTAAATTTTTCATTGAAACATACTTTTTCATTTGCATATAAAACTATAATGTTAAGGAATGACAAACTAATGTAAATTTCACCATTCTGAAAAACATTATGTAACAATATTTGAGGTTTATAAATTTCTAAAAAGATACATTTTTCAACAGATTAATTTTAGAGGAAAGCTCCATTTCAGCAAACGCTGACTTTAAGTTAAAGAAGAAAAATATTATTTGGTTTATTTCTTATAAATTAATATCAATGTTAAATATGTAGAAGTAAAATTTCTTCATAACAACTAAAAATAAGATATCGAGTTGAGTTATTAAAAAACATCTTGAATTTATCTGATCAAACAAATTATCAATTGATTCTTTAATTGGTTTTTCACTCAGGATTATTTCAACAATTTTTTTGCAATTGTGCAGAAGTAACAATCTCTTCATAACAACTAAAAATAAAAGATATCGAGTTGAGTTATTAAAAAAATATCTTGAATTTACCTGATCAAACAAATTATCAATTGATTCTTTAATTGGTTTTTCACTCAGAATTATTTCGACAATTTTTTTGTGATTGTGTAGAACTGCACTGTGAAGAAGTGGCATTCCATAACCCTAATAATACAAATATATAACATTAATTTCCTCTTTATTTTAAAGCACATAATTTAGCACGAAATATAATAATATGTTATTTGAGTTAATATATTTATTTGACTTAATCTGACTTAAAATATTGGGTTGGCAGGAAAGTAATTTCGGTTTGCACAAAGAGATAACATTATGTTCATTTTGTAATTCGTCTGTCAATATTATCATTTTTTTACTTTTGAGAGTTAACAGCTGACACTTTTAGGTTGCAACAGAAACAAATTCCATGTATTTTTCATCAAATCTGTTAGTTTATAGTCAGTTTTAACACAGGATGCAAAAATAAACATTTGTAATATATTTTACTTTTTTATTTTCGTAAAGGCAAGAAAGCAGCTGAGGCTCCCAAAGAGGTATGTGAAATCTATGGTGTTAATTGCTTAACAGAATACATGTTTTCAGAATTCATTTAAAAAATTTCATTCTGGAGATTTTTCACTTGAAGATGACTGACGTTATAGATGATCTTCTGAAGTTGATGATGATGCAATTAAAGCCATAACTGAAAACTGTGCAAAAGATTGTAGAAAGGTTAAATGTATCACACGCAGCAACTGAAAATCACATAAAATGTCTTGGACTTATTAAGAAGCTCGAGATTTAAATGCCACACAAATTGAAAAAAATTCACTTAACACAACAAATCAATATTTGTAATATGCATTTCAAACATAATGCAATCACTCGCTTTTTGAAACAAATTATCACTGGTGATGAAAAATAGATCATCTACAATAGCATTCATCGTAAAAGATCTTGGACCAAGCACGATGAATCAGCATAAATCATACCAGAAAAAGATCATGCTATCAATTTGGTTAGATTACAAAAGTGTGCATTTTGAGTTGCCTCCAAGCAATTAAGCAATCAATTCAGATGTTTACTGGCAACAACTTATGAAACTAGAGGAAGCAAAGGGAAAAGGCTAGAATTGGCAAATCAGAAAGGAACCATATTCCACCATGATAATTCGAGGCATCACACACTTAAGCAACAAGTACAAAATTATTGGAATTTGGTTGGGAACTGATGTCACTATCCCTATATAGCTTTGACCTTGTCACCAGACTATCATTTATTTTGAAAAGTTCACAAAACTCCTTAAATAGTAAAAATTTAGGAATAATTAAATTTCACTTTGTTGATTTTTTTGCTGATTGAGAGCATAAGCTCTATGAGCACAGAATCATGAAGTTACCAAACAGATGGCAAAAGGTCACTGAACAGAAAGGAAGATATTTGACTGATTAAAGTTCATTTTTGTATATGAAAAAAGAGAAACGATCTTTTCACATTTTTTATTGAAACTTAACAACACGTGCACAACATTACATCCATAGCTCGCATACAGAGAAGAGAGAATTTGGTGTTGCCAATACGGTAAATATAAATGTACCAAACTAACACGCCTCCTTACATTTATATTTACTAATTACAAACAAACATAGATATAAGCAATCTTTTCATCTTTACCATTTACAATTAAGCATAGATATAAACAATAACATTCAACACTTAACACAAATTATTTTTAAAAAAGTTTCTTTCATTAACTTAAATGTTAAAATCAAAGTTAAACACAATTTAGTTTACATAAGGACATTACCAAAATCTATTTCATTTCAAGCATATATATTTAAATAAACAACACTTAAATAAACAGTATACAAAATTTATTTCAATTTTAAACCTTCTCTAAATTTCATAAATTTAATCTTTCCTAAAGACTTAGTAAAGATATCTGCAATATTTGATTCTGAATCAATCTTTACAATTTCAATTACTCCATTTTGAACATTTTCGTGAACATAATGATATTGAACTTCTATGTGTTTTGAATTTTTAATGAAGTTCCCATAATTAGCAATGGCCAAAGCTCCTGAATTATCTTCATAAATTTTAATGGGGTGAGTTATATCAGCAAAAACATCATTCACAACATTTTTCAAGAAATTAATTTCTGTCACAGCCTCAGATAGAGCAATATATTCGGCAAAAGTGGAAGATTTTGTCACACAATTTTGCTTTTTGGATTTCCAGTAAATTGGATTACCAAATAATTCAATAACAAACCCAGTAGTTGACTTTCTGTCAACAATATCACCTGCCCAATCAGCATCAACATAACAATTCATAATATCAGTTTTAAGATTTTTACTATAGGTTAATTTTAGATGTTTTGTTAAGTACAAATACTTTAAAACTCTCAAAGCATATTTGAAATGTGTCTCATCATAACAATTTTGAAATCTACTTAAATAATTTACGCTGAAAGATATGTCTGGTCTAGTACCATGACTAATATACAAGAGTGCTCCTATTAGATTTCTATATTTGACATTTTGATTTAAATTAGATTGGCTTAGTTTAAGATTAGTCTCCATTGGTGTATCATAAAGCTTTGAATTTTTTAATACCATACAGTTTAGCTAAAGATTCAATATAATTTTCCTGACTCAGTGTTAAGATATTACTTTTCTCATTATCATATTCAATATCAATTCCAATGTAGCTTTTTACTTTATTTAAATCCTTCATTTTAAATTTTTATGTAGTTGTTCCTTAATATCATTAATTACCCGAGTATCTCTGCAACATATCAACAAATCATCAACAATAAAAGAATATATACAAATACATCATTTTCAGATTTTACATAAAGACAATAATCATATTTACTTCTACGAAATCCTAGACTCTCAATATACTCGTTAAAGCACTCATACCAAGCACGAGGGCTTTCTTTCAACCCATATAGTGCTTTCTTTAATTTATACACTCTATTCGAATTATCATTATAGCCTTGTGGTTGTTTAACATAAACCTCAGACACAACATAACCATTTAAAAAGGCAGTCTCAACATCCATTTGATGAATATTTAAATTATACTGACAGGAATATGAAAGTAACAATTTTAAGGTTTGCATCTTGATGACAGGGGAGTAAGTGTCCTCAATACTATCTTTTTGCTGAAAACCTCGAACCACTAATCTAGCTTTAAAAACATTACCTGGTTTTCTTTTGAATACCCACTTCACATCTAGAATTGCTTTATCCTCTGGTTTAGTCACTAGTGTCCAAGTGTTATTTTTAACAAGACTGTTCATTTCACTGTCCATTGCCTCTTTCCAATGTCCAGCCTCACTGCATGTTGTCGCCTCCTCAAAGTTACCTGGAACTGTAGCATCACAAAAATTTGCACTAACACAGTAGTACCCGAATTCTTCATGAAATCGAACTGGTGGTTTGATTTGCCTTCTTGGTCTCATTCCACTTTTTGTTTCATCTTCATTTATCACACTGTCCTTGGAGTTATCATTACTCGATTCACACGACACTTCTTGAGGTTCATTCTTCTTATTTGTATCATCATTCTTATCTTCATCATCACAACCTACACACATTATGTCTTCTTCAATAATATCAACATGTCTGGCAACTATTATTCTGTTATTCATCAAAACTCTATATCCAACTTCTGTATACCCAAGTAAAATTCCAAATTCAGCCTTTTTATCCCACTTCGACTTTCTCTTTTCTTCTGGTATTCTTACATACACTCTACTTCCGTATAATTTCAATTCATTAGCAGATGGTTTCCTATTGAAAAATATTTCATATGGTGTCTTCTTTACAATAGTATTTGTTAATGTCCTGTTTTTCAAATAAGCAGCAGCTTTAATTACTTCAGGCCAGTAACGTCTGTCAACTTTTGCTTCGGCTAAAAGACATCTTGCCATATCCATTATAGTTCTGTTGTAACGCTCAGCAGTACCATTTAATTCATGTACATATGGTGGGCATGACTTTATCTTGAAACCTTTTTCTCTTGCAAATTTGTATATCTTGCTATTCATATATTCACTACCATTATCACATCTTAGTTCTTTGATAGTCTTCCCTGTTAAATTTTGAATTTCATTTACATATTCAATTAAGCAATCAGAGACTTGATCCTTAGATTTGATACAATAAATTTTTGCCAACTTGCTATAATCATCAATAAAACTCACAAAGTATTTCTCACCATTACATCCACATTGTTCTGTGAGGTCCATTTACATCTGTATGTATAATCTCCAGAATATCTTCTGCTTTTCTTCTATTATTCTTGAATGGTAAATTGTGCATTTTATTTTCAATACATATGGCACACTTCATATATTCGGTTTCTATTTCTTTAGGGATTCCTTCTAATAGCTGATCTTTGCACATAATATCCAGATATTTAAAATTTACATGTCCAAATGAACGGTGCAATTTTTCTTTTAACGTTAACTTACTGTTGGTCAAATTTGCAAATATTTTACTATTTTTAACATAACTCTTTACTTTATATAATCTTTCTTCTTTCTTTGCTACTGCTACTAATGAACCATTGACATCATATATTTTAGAGAACTTTTCTTTTGAAACTATTTTATGATTATCAGTAATCTTCGAATAACTTAATAAATTTGCTTTCATTTCTTTTACATAAAATACATTCTTCAATGTTACGATAGATTCAGAGTTATATACAGGAAAAGAAACTATTATATTGCCAACCTTTGTAGCTTTCAAAATCCTTCCGTCACCGACTTTCACTTGAATAGGATCCTTCAAAGTGACTTGCTCTTTGAAATATTCATCACTGTTTATAATGTGGTCTGTGCATCCGCTATCCAGTAACCAATTCGATTTCATTTTTATTCGTCACAGTATTTGCACTGGAACTTGTCATGCTACTTTCAATAACAGTTGTGTGAAAACTATTGCCTTGATGACTGTTTATTCTCTGGTTAGAGTATGCTCCACGTTCACGATGTCCACTAAAAGCACGACTACGTCCTCGATTGTTTGAAGAACTTCGACCGCGATAATTAGTGGAGCCATTACCACGATAGTTCCTTTGATGGACATGCCAACAATTCTTTTTAATGTGACCAGGTTTTCCACAATTATAACAGACATTCCCTTGTGGACCCGATTTGCTTGTTTCAATTTTGAACGCATTTGATTTTTCTGCTGGTGCACAATCTTCATAATCATTTTTCTCTTCAAGTAATTTTGATTTGATTTTGCTCTTTAGGTAATCGACTGTTCTGTCCTTCTCTGGTAATACATCTATTAAGTCACCAATGTGACTGTAATTTGAAGGTAATGCTCTTAGCATATAGTTCAATTTTTCTTGTTCCGTCACGGTGGCGCCGGCATGTTTCAGTTCGTTCACATACTTCTCAAAATCATCGAAAAATATATTTACATCAGGATAATTTTTCAGTTTCACACATTCTAAGTTATTTCGACAAACAATTTGTAGAGAGATGTTGAAGTTTTTAAATACATTGCATCAAATTTCGTAATTATATCAAATGCAGTCTCACACTCGTGAATATATTCCAATTGCTTGTTTGTTATGGCGCCGTAAATGTAATTTGTAGCTTGGATATCCTTTTCTTCCCATTTTTCCACGTCATCATTTTCACTGACTTTTCGCTGAACCACATCTTTACACTTTTTAAATTGAAGAAATTTCATCATACGCACTTTCCAATTAAAATAGTCCGAACCATCAAATAGCGGTATGCCGATATCGCTGCTTCTTGTACATGCCATTTTTACGCTAGTACCGGTAACTTTTAAAACAAATTATAACTACTAAATTCTTCATTCATATTCACAAACCACGAGAACTGCTACCATGTTAAATAAATCGATGTCATATGAAAAAGCAAGTCGAAAACTAAGAAACGTATCTTTTCACATTTTTTATTGAAACTTAACAACACGTGCACAACATTACATCGGCATCCATAGCTCGCATACAGAGAAGAGAGAATTTGGTGTTGCCAATACGGTAAATATAAATGTACCAAACTAACAAGAAAAACCTGAGTTTCATTTCATTCAAAAGTAATTTTTCATTAAAAAATCAAAATTACTTTTTTGCGAACCCAATACAATGGAGCTTCAAACAAACAAAAAATACGGGAACTGCAAAAATTTACTGAGAATATTTAATATCTTACAATTTATTTATATTCAGCAGATTTAAACCATTCACAAATAGCAGTATGTGAATTATGAAATTATAAATGTTATATATTTACCACAACTCTTGCATGCCATAATAGTTTTTTTCCATATAAATCAAATTCCAATGCAATATCTTTTAGTTCAATGAATTTTTTAACGTCGCCCAACTCCACTGCTTCTGCGAAATGTTCTATCTGCATCTGGAAACATTAAAATTTTCATTTAAATGCAGAAAAAAATCAAACAAATTCTGTACTGTTATATAAGGTAGTCATAAAAAATTTCCCTGGTATATGAACCCCTAGCATCCTGTTCATTCACAATTTTTGCATGTATTTGACAGCTTTGTAGTAGCTGAAATTTATGGGATAGATAATCTGCATCAGTATATGGGGCGTTTTAAAGGGGCAATTGATTCTGCTTCAACCAAGTGTAGATAATAATGCATATCTTCATAAATCTAATTAGTTTTTGAATCCTTCAAATAGAATACATTTTGATTGCCTAATTGGTTCAACAGATTTAATCCCCATTGAATACCTATGTTATACTAATAGGTTGCAGATCAATGAGCAGATTAGAAGCATGCTAGTTCAAGAATGGAAGGGATGGTGACAGAGCTGGTGACCATACCAGATGGCAGAATTTAGGGGTAGCAAAATATTTAGAATTTACACAGCATTGCTCCATCATTAAGGTACAGGAAAATCTTATGCCGACCAACATATGTATCTGTTCAAAATCTGAATATCACATTAAATCTAACAATAACCACCAGGATGAAATTCATATGATAAGAATAGTCAGATCAGACTATGGCCTATTTCTGTACTTCTGTAGGTTAAATAACATACGCCTTTATTTACATATTATTATTCATCCACTTTACATTTGTTCTACACAGTTGAATGAGGTAAAACCATTCAAAATGAAATTTAAGTTATTGTAATTTTAAGTTATGTGCTCATGATTATGATGATTTAAAACAATAAAACTCTCTCAGTTATGATTACAGTGGAAAAAATTCTAAATTTCTGAATGGCAATATCCACTTTTTCATAACCGATCAGCACATTGGATAACCATAAATGTCACTGGAGTCCCCACAATCCCTTGACCTCACTCTGATGGATTTCTGCTTCTGGGTTACCTGAAAGTCTAAGGTACACATACGAAATCTACAAGATCTATCAGAATTAAAAGATGCCATACATGTGAAGTTATACGAATTTCTCCTATGATGTTACATTCATCACTGTTGTCAATAATTTCCTGCTTGCAATGCATTATCGTCTACAAAAGTGGTTATGCTGAAAATTTTTAATTCCAATTAAAGTTTTTTACCTCTCCTCTCTTGTGTTGTCACTGGTCCTTTGCAATGCTCTTCTTTGCAAATGTTTTATGCCAGCAACTTTCATCAAATGTATATCGTTCCAATGCCATTTATGGTTTTTTAATACGCTGATCAATTTGTGAAGGAAAAAAAATGGTGTTGCCATTTGAAAATTTAGAAATTTTTTCACTACAATCATAACTATGGGAACTCTATTGTTTTATATCATCATCATCTTGAGGGTATACCATCAAATTACAATATCTGAAATTTCATTTCGATTAGTTAAAGCAGATTGGCCATTAGGAATTCATATATTATGGAAGTTTTTTTTATTACCACGCTGTATAGCACAAAAACTATATTTTATCAACTACAATAACGCTAGAAATGTTCATCAAAATTTTCAGTGGGACATAATACAAGTTAAATGTAGAAGATATGAATTATTAAGTATTAATTTTAAAGTTTTCTAATTTGCTCTGTTGTTAATCAAATGACAGAATTAAATTTGAAAGACAAAGACTTCATGTTTTCCTGAATAGCAACATTCTGAGATGCAGGAGACTACATAGAAGATAAATTAAATGCCTTATGACACAAGATCTTACAGCCACCGGATGACATATGGATGCTGGCATAATATTATGGTAAAAAATTTTTGAAAAGACTCAGCTGACAGCAATTCTAACATTAAAATACTTTTAAAATACAGACAAGTCTCAGTTAACTGGAATAAAACCAAAGATGATGTTCATGGTTTACTCAAAAGCATGGTTAACCTGAGGGAAGTTAAAAAAACCTAAAGAAGAAGAATAAACCTTGTTGAAGTAAACAGAATGAACACTATTAATAATTTACCCATATTTTTAAGCCAAGTATTCTGGGAAATAAATTAATTTGATTACATTAATTACGGCTTATGATAGCAATTTTTCATCAATCCACAAATTTAATGTTTATTTTTCAAATAGGGCTCGGTTAATTCAACCTAAGTTATTCCTAAATCTGAGTTCTAATCTGAGTACATCTAATCTGAGTACATCTAATCTAAATCTGAGTACATCTGAGTTCTGTAGTAGCAATAAGAAAACTGTTTGGTTTGTCACAGGCACATTATCATTATACATGAGTCCTATTTCAGAATGATATAATTTTAAATATGCATGTATTTGACAGCTTTGCTACAGTAGCTGAAATTTATGGGATAGATAATCTGCATCAGTATATGGGGCGTTTTAAAGGGGCATTTGATTCTGCTTCAACCAAGTGTAGATAATAATGCATATCTTCATAAATCTAATTAGTTTTTCAATCCTTCAAATATAATACATTTTGATTGCTTAGTTGGTTCAACAGATTTAATCCCCATTGAATACCTATGTTATAATAGGTTGCAGATCAATGAGCAGATTAGAAGCATGCTAGTTCAAGAATGGAATTTCTTAGCTTAAACAGGGATGGTGACAGAGCTGGTGACCATACCAGATGGCAGAATTTAGGATTTAGACAGCATTGCTCCATCATTAAGGTACAGGAAAATCTTATGCTGACCAACATATGTATCTGTTCAAAATCTGAATATCATATTAAATCTAACAATAACCACCAGGATGAAATTCATATGATAAGAATAGTCAGAACAGACTATGGCCTATTTCTGTACTTCTGTAGGTTAAATAACATTCACCTTTATTTACATATTATTATTCATCCGCTTTACATTTGTTCTACACAGTTGAATGAGGTAAAACTATTCCAGACAATAGACTGTTTATGTACAAGAGTATAATTAGAATAAACTTAGATGTCTTTTGATATGCTTATTTAAAATACACAAGAAAAAAGCAATGTAATCTAAATAAATATAAAAAATAATTAAATACTTTATTGAATCTTAAACTTTTGAAAATCAAATACTGCTGTATATAAAGGAATTATTGCATACTGCAGTTTGCAGTGGTCTTCAGTAAAAGCTAAACTAGGTAATAAAAGTTAAAATATTTTATAATATGATGATGAATTTTAATCTGATTTAATATACAAACTATGTAATTGGATCTGAAGCTGCACTAAGTATATTACAAAGTTACACTTACTTGAAAAGCTATTAGTTTAGAAAGAAATCCTTCATCATATTGTTCTCTGTCATGAAACTTCTACAAAAGTCAATACACATTTTACAATCAGCTACACTATTATAAACCTGTCCCTTCCAAAATGTTACATAACATATATTATTATTTCAGAGAAACATATTTCACCAAAATACAGCAGTATTTATTAAAAGAAAAATGTAAAAATTCATCTTTTTCTAATAATAACAAAATATTTAAGAACTTCAAATGTAATTTAAGAATTTGAGAAACATGCTATTTAAGAATATAAATGTGAGGTAGCAATAGCATGTACTAAAATTTTAAAAAAGACGCAGAAAATAATCAAATACAATAACTTGAGGTCTAATACTACAGTATTTGTTTGGATAGTTCATAAAGTTCATAAAATTAATCAGTTTGGCATGAATTAATGAGATCTTTGATGACATAGCAGTTAAAAATTATATTACCGAACTCACTTGAAACATATCTACTTCAAACTCCCATCCAAAGAGGGCCAACTGCTCTCTCCAGCCTGGGTATTTGCTTGGATTATAAATCCAATTAAAAACACTCTGAAACCAAAATAAAAGTTCTGCATTTTAAGAAGCTAGGAATTAAAAATATTTCACACAGCATTATTGAATTTACTTCTTGTCATATTACATAAAATTTACAAGTGCACATGAATTACAAATACATGTAAGGCACACCCTAATGAAAATGGGACTGTAATAAATTTCTGCAATGGTATTAGTTTGAATACATGTATACTTTCAAATTGTAAAGTGGTACATTGGTGATATATCAGCATAAATAACCAATCTTGTCAGTTAAGTAAATAAACAACAGCACACAATGCAAACATACCTGTAAGCAAAGATGATCCTCTCCATTGTTATGCAACACTGAGATGCTTAAAGACCCATATAGCTCAATCGTTATCATATTGCAAAGTTTCATGCAGAGCAGTATTAATGCTTCTCTAGTCCAAAGGCAACCTGTCTGTATTTTCCCAGGTAGTTATTTGATGATTGCCCTTCACAAAAGAGAAGCAATTGATTCTTCAGTGATTGTTGTGTTTTAAGTGTTTTGGGTGGTTACACTCACATGTTCTGCACCAGAAAAAAATTTCATGATGTAGCATACATTTAGTTACTTACACATTATTCCCTTGACTGAAATTGTTGATTATACTAAAAAATTCAGTTAATAAAAGCTGAAATGCTTGTTGAGCCTGTTAGACATATGGGTGATGGTACTTGTCATGTCGTTTCTTTTTCACTCAGTTACATACCACTGCTAATCATCTTAAACCAGATTTCTCCTGATATACACATACATCTACTGGAAAAATCTGAATGTGTGGAATCATCTTGTTAGAATCATAGCCCCACTTTCACTTGGGCATCCTTTATACACTGCAAGGAAGCATGCAAATAACATGAAATTTACAACATGCATTAGCGAAGGTGAGATATGCAAATGATTAGAATTTTAGCACAGACGCACATCATGCGTACCTGTGGTGCCAAAGTGCTATTTAAGGCTTGGAGTTTTCAACGATTTCAAGTTCGTCAATTGTGTTTTTCTTGTGTTTTTTCAAAAAAAAAAAAAAAAAAAACGATCAATTATGTTTTGTAGTAAACACCAATCATTGTTTCATCAAGTATCCGAGTTCGACAGAGGAAGGATAGTAGCATACCGAGAGTGTGGATTATCTTTCAAGGAAATCGGTAGTCGTGTTGGATGAAACCAAACAATTGTAATGTGGATATGTGACCGTTGGATGGAGGAGGGTACGACAAACCGACGTGTTCGATCGCATCCATCTCAGTGCACCACTTCACGTGATGACAGGAACATTGTGTGCATGACAGCGATGGATCGCTCAGTCACATCACGAACCATACCACAGCACATTCAGTCTTTAACACATCATCCAGTGTCTGTGCATACCATTCAACACCATTTACAACAGAGTGGTTTGTCCGCAAGACATCCATTGCTTCGTCTACCCTTAACGCAGAACCACAGACGTCTCCACTGCAAATGGTGCGATGAAAGAAAGATGTGGACAGCAGAATGAAATGAAATTTTCTTTACTGACGAGTCACGCTTCTATCTGCAACACCACGATGGTTGGATTCGAGTCTTGAGACACCGTGGAGAGAGGATGCTGAATAGCTGCATTATGCACCACCACACTGGTCCTGCACTGGGTATTATGGCATGGGGCGGTATTGTATATCACTCTCACACTCCTCTAATATGCAATGCCATACTTTAAACAGCCAGGGCTACATCTCAGAGGTGTTGGAGCCATTTGTCCTTCCTTACCTTCAGGGCTTGCCCACAGCCATATTTCAACAGGATAATGCACGACCACACAAGGCACGCATTGTCCCAAGGGTTCTTCGTCAATCGCCAGATTTAATTGCTTCCCTGGCCAGATCTTTCGTCAACAGAAAACATGTGGTCCATGATTGCTGAACGATTGACCCAGATTACATCCCAAACTGCCACACCAGATCCACTTTGGCAACATGTGGAAGCTGCTTGGTCTGTTGTGTGACAAAAACACATCCAAAGTCTCTTTGAATCAATGACGAGGCGTGTGGCAGCAGTGATCTTCAACAATGGTGGCTACTCTGCCTACTAATTCTGGAAGGGCCACACTTCACAGAAGTCTATAAATTTAATCATTTGATACTTGGTCAACATGTTATCTACTAAATAAATTTTGTTGTGATATCTCTTATCTTTCTTGGTGTTGCAATTTGGGTGGCCAGCAGTGTATTTACTCTGATGTGTCAAGAAAAATGTTCATAAATAAATTTATCAAAAATAACAATGACTAACAGCTGAGATGATTTTAACTATTTTAAAGGAAAAGAAGATAAAAATGTTACCTGATTTATAGCTTCAACATATTGCTTTTGATTATTCAGAATAGCCAAATCTTTGATGGTTTGATTGAACTAACAATGACAGAAAAAATTAATAATTATTATATAATACCTGTAATTGTATAATATCAGATTGTAATGAAAATTTTCCACCAAAAAAGGTTCTTAATAAAGTTATAAGAAAAACTAAACATGAAATCAGTATCTTTAGTGCAGGTTTATGATCAACACCCAACTTTATGATTTTCTACCAATGTTTTAATAGTTTTTTTTTAAAGCCTTCAGCCCAGAAACTTGGTGGCTGCGAGTCCAAAAACAGATTAACCTCATTTCAGACGTCCTGTGCAGAATGGAACATCACACCAGCAAGATGTAGCTGCAAGTGTGAAAAAAGGTAGTAGGAGCGATATCGGAACTATATGGTGGCTGTAGCAAAAGATTTCTTTCCAGTCCGTACAGAGTCCAGCCAGTGAATGCAGACACATGTGTCTTGCATTATCTTGGCCAAACATTACCTTTTCACACCGGAACTCAGTTCGAAGTTTTTCCTTGATAGCAGGGTCAAGATGGACTACCATCTCTCTGCACACCTTACTGTCGAGGGTTTTACCTTTTCCCAGATACTCTTTATGGCAATCCCACCAGATGCAAAGCATGATTTTTTTTTTAAAGTCAAACTGCACTTTGCAACTCTGCCAACTGACTCACCAGGTGCAGACCAACCCCCTTTCCGGCATGTGTTGTTGAAGTAAATTCACTTTTCATCAGAAGTGACAATGCAGTCCTGAACTTTGACCTTGCATTGATGATCGAGCAGATAAGTGCAAGCCCAAACACGTATATCCTTACCTGCTTGAGTCAGCTCATGTGGCACTAAGCAATTCAAGTTGTATGTCAAGTTTATACAATGCATAATGGACATGGCACTAATGTCTAACTTCTTAGCAAAATCTCAACCGATCTTCTTCCATAAGTTCTTGCTGGCGGGTATCATGAACATCAGTGGGTCGGGCAGAGTGCTCTGCTTTTTAAATATCATAGTCCTTATTTTTGAACTTTCAGTACCAAACTTTCACAGTGTATATGATACAACATTAGTACCTAAAGGTGTGCACATGATTTGGTGACATTCTGTAACTGACTTTTCGCAACAGAGCTGGATGTAAATGATGGTTCTAATCTGGTAGCTGCAATAGTTCCATTTCATGCACCTTGTACTTAATAATAACAATATTTTTTTATAAATTTCACAACTCAGTATTCTAAAGCAAGTATCTTTCAAATGCCAAAAATTATTTGACAAAATATGATTAAAAACGCCAACGCAAAATGTTTGCACAAATGATATTTGAGGTGGCAGGAAACTTTCATTAAAACTTGATATTAAATATTCATTAATACAATATAGAATAGGATAAGAAGAATAAAAAAAATTTGTTATTTTTTATACATGAAAATTATACAGCATTTATTCAAAATAATAAATGGCAGGAAGAATATAAAATTGAAATGAATGGCTCTATATATAGCCTTTGTTTCCCTTTCACATTTGTTTCAGCTACTGATTTTTTTTTAACTCTTTCATTAAAAACTGAAGTAATATTGCCAATACATGTACCAACACCTGAAGATGACATGATTGCTAAGGTGGCCTTAGTCAACGCTCTATGAGGGACCAAAGTATCGAGGTGATGTGAGTAAAATTGTAATAGCATGAAAAGGCAGATCTAAAAGGGCAGGGATAACAATATATATAAGATATAGATATATACAGTCAAACCCATTATAACAAACTTCAAGGGAAGTTTGGTTTGCTATATTCGATCTGATAAGAAAAATGGATTATTTCACAAAACATGTAACTGAATGATGAATTTAAAAAATAAATAAATAAACTAACTAATATTAACACATCATCAAAAGAAGTAAATAATAAATTTAATTAAAAAAATACGTTTAGATTTAAATGCAGATATTAAATATGTTATTAGTAGTTGTTTTTTTCATTTTTTCCACAGATTCATTGGCCTTTTTCTGAAGCATTTCAGATGTTAACAGATTATGAATGCAAACCATTACAGCAATGCTTCTTCAACATCCATGTGCTCTACTTTTCCCAACATGTTCCTCAAATCCAATATTTTTCAATAGGCAGAAATTAAGGAGTTTCGGCTTTTTCATATGATATACCAACTGCAGATTCGATCCCCGGACTTGAATCCTATCGAGCACGTTTGGGATGCTTTAGGGAGACATCTAGCTGCTTTCAATCTGCCCCCTCATATCCTTGCCGAGCTTGCAACTGCTTTGCAAAAGCAATGGCTCTCGCTTCCTATAGAACTGATAGATTGCATAATTGAAAGCATCACACATCACTGAATGTGCTGTATTACTTCTAGAGGCGATTGTATTCCATACTGAAGGTACTTTTACTATAGCAAACTGACATCTTCAATTTGTTCATTTTATACATGTGCTAATTTCTTTACTACCATAATTGTCTGGTAATTTCTTTTTATGTTATTTGATACCTTACTATGTGTTGCATATTGTGGGTAAGTTTCATAAAATTCTACATGTAATTTTTTCAGTAATCGTGATTTTTGTGATTTTTCCTTAATTTATGATAACCAATGTACATTCTGACCGGAAGTTGTAAGTTGAAATTCTTGAAGACAGGAAAGTAACTCAAAACTTAACTGTTAAAGAAATTAAAATAATCCTTACAACCTTATATACTCTCCCTTTTAAAGGGTGACTGGGGATTAGGGGACTCAATCGCCAAAAATTCACCTGGTGGTGAAGAATCATCATCCACCACCTTTTTTAGTTCAGGTGCCAATGTAGAGACATTAGGTTATTTTGGAAGCAGAAGAAGTGAAAAATAAGCAATGCCCTCACCAGGACTCGAACCAGGGACTTCTGGAATGCATGCCAAACATGCTGACCATTACACCATGAAAGCATGCTAAGAAGGCAGGAGAAATACCTTATACATTATAGCATTAGCCTTGAACATTAATTCTAGCAGCTCAATCAAAGAATTTGAATGGAATTAGGAAACTCATTCACACTTCTTGGTTTAATGGTCACGTACACAAGTGGTCTCAAACTGGTGGTCTGCAGGCCACATGCGGCCCCAAAGAAATTTTATACATTTACGTTAGTGCTTATAGATTAAATCATAGCATAAATTCATTGGGCAGTAGATTGCAATGCAATGTTTATTAAGAAAATAGAAAAGCACTAAAAAACATTTCACCAGTTTTTACACTCCAATTGAGTTCGAAGCTAGTGCTGGCTCACAGAAAAAATTACATACGAAATGCATATATAACAATGCTCTGACAAACCTGCAAAAGAAACATTAGAAACATATGAATTGCATTTATATGCCTGATTGCTAGTGAATGAAAATGAAATAGAATGGATAGATTTACAATGTCAGTTTAATGAAAAAAATTATAGACTTTGTATGCTTACATGCCAGATTGCATGACTCGACTAAGGTAGGGTGTAGGTACAATCAATAAATTTATTTGTTGGCTAAAAGTTGATAAAACTTCCATATTCTGGTGTGTCTGTCCCTCCAATGAGTAGGAAATTTTACTTTCCTTAAGTCAGTCACTAGTTGTTTGAAATTAATAAGTCTAACAAAAGGGCCTGATTGACCAATAAGCGTCTACCATTCGGGATGAAGATAGTTTCCAATAATTTTTCTGTAAGTCTACAAATGTTTTCAAACTCAAAACACTATCAGGTGTCAAACTGTATTAAAAAGTAAAGGAATTGTATGACTGTACATACAATCATATGCAATTTTTACATGTGTGGATAAAAAATTTAATTCATAAAGAAAAGAGAACAGGTTGTAGATCTTTATTTTCAGGTTTTGTTCCATTGGGGAAGTATTCTGCGAAAAATTGATGAGTTTTCATAATTTGTTAATTTTAAGCTTATTTTTACAGTAAGTTATTTAGTGGTTACTTCAACATATTAGAATTATTTGAAATAAATGTCAATCCAAATATTTAATATGTAGCTGTTAGCACATATGAATTACGAAATGTAACCAACAGAAGTTTGTTACAGATAGAAAATAACCACGACAAACTTGAATTTTTCTTTGGATTATTATTTGTTATGAATGCTTTGATAAATATTTAGTGAAATTTGAAATTAAGTTAAAATTTAGTTTATTTAAAATTTTGATAAAAATATCTGCCACCCTGCTGCTTTTAGGTCATGCACATAGCTTGGCAGCTGTTTTCAGGTTGTGCATGTAATTTGAGTTTGAGACCGCTGATGCACAACATATGGTTTTACTCTATCCTTATTCAAGTTAGGTGCCACACTTCTAGCTCATAGCTTTTGTTTAGAAGATAGAAAAATGTAGGGGTGAAGATAAAAGAAAAATTATATAAAGGTCTATTTTTTTACAGATGGAATGTGGATACTAATATCCTAAATATGGATGATTTTAAAATTTGTAATTTTTTGTTAAAATTTATAAAAATTCTGGAAAAATATAAAAAATACAAAAAGTTTCAATTGAAGATATTAATACAATATAGTATATCTGATTTTTATCTCTCACAGGTTTGCTATAACAGTATAAAATAACATTAAGTGAACAGAAACTGGATGGAACCAAAAGTTTCATTTCTTATAAGATAGGTTCATTACAACAGGGTTCATCTGTACTGATTTCATAGCTGGGAAAATCAGTTTACAAGGATTTATGAGATGTTGAAGACAGCACTTAGTGAATCAACTACACTACAACATTTTGGGTATCTTCCTTCTTCAAAAAAGACCCAAGTTCAGAGAATGACCTGCCTCTTCCCAACCATTCCATCAGCTGGAATGACGAAAAAATTACTGAAGTCAATCATTTTGAAAAATTGTTTAACATCCTTACAACTTTAGGAGACCTATGAAATTTTGATTTTGTAAAACATTCTTCAAGTCTTTCCACAAAATATGAAGTTAAAAGAAACAGCATTTCAGTCAACAGTCAATAAAAAGATAACAATTGTCAATTATAAGAAATATCTCAAAATTAATTATAAAAAAGTAACAATCAATTAAAAGAAACTACATTTCAGTTCACTCATATCTGTATATTTCATGAGAAGACGTAAGGATTAGGTTTATTGTCAGCAACATTTTTTTTCTAGCTTTTCACAGAGGATCAAAAGTACAGTAATTTGACCATTTGCATAGAACTTCATGAAACAGTTACCAGGAGCTCTACATTCTTGTCCAGCACTTTCACAAAATATAAATAATTGATTTATGGATACAATCTTAAGATGAAGTAAATGCCATCACATGAAAAACTTATGGATCTCCAAGACTAAAAAAGGCCAGCTAAGTTTATTCTCACACTGATAGAGTTTCTTCACAATGCCACAACTCAGACTCAAATTATATGCAGGCCAAATGAACAATCTGAAAACAACTGAAGGGCCAAATTTTTTTTAACATAACAAAATGAAGATTTTTTTATTAACAAAATAAAAAAGTTTTAAAATAAAAAATAAATAATTTTAATAATAATCTCAAAGACAAAAATTATAATTTTATATTTTTTCTATTGAAATCTACAGTTTGGTATTTTTGTTAGTTACACATTATAATTCAAATGTATATTGACAGATGTATTAAATTTTCAGATTTACATTTATTTCAAATAATTCTAACATGTTTCATTAATCATTAAATAACTTTAATTTAAGCTAAAAATACACAAATTATGAAAACTTTCCAAGTGGGACAAAACTTGAGAGTAAATAATGACAACTTAGTCTCTTTCTCTTATTTATAAAATTGTTCTTTGGTGCATAAATAAAAATACATATGTTTGTAAGCAAATAATTATAGCTTCTGCATTTCAAAACTACAGCTTGATGGCATTTTAATTCTGATAAACTTTGTAATCTTCGAAAGAAATTACTAGAAATTATCTTCATCACAGATTGTAGATGCCCAACAGTCAATCGGGTTCTTTTGTTATTATTGATTTTCAACAGAACAAAAAAAGTTGTTCTCATATAAATGTATATCCAAATATAGTGATTATTCTTAGTCATAACTCATAATAGAATAAACTCATATTAAAATTCAGAATACAGTGCATTTATTTTTTACTATGAATAAGAGTTAAAAATCTGCTACTTCTAATTTTTGAATAAGATTTACATAACACTGTAAATTAATTAGCTTCTTTTATAGAATTTCACATGCATTATTCATTATCATTTTTAATGGTAATGAAAATAATGTAAACTCGGTCTTTAAATAGCCAAAATCTTGAAGATTTTGCAACAAATACTTAATTGAAATGTATTTGCAGGCCACATGAAATTGCTTCAGAATCTGCATTTGGCCTGTGAGTTGCCAGTTTCAGACCACTGCTCTAGTGTATCACAAATCTGTGTTTCCAATTCAGAGTACAGAGCTTTACAGGAATGTATCACAGTGTGTAGTGGAATGCTGTTGGTAGAAAATGGCCCAAAATGTGGAATAATGGAAACTGAGCTATGTCAACACATCAGAATATTTGGAAAAGAAAAAAAAAAAAAAAAAAAGGCACCAAATTATCTCTTACTTTGTAATTTCTTCCTGCTTCCCATGTTTAAAGTTATCTTAAAAATGAAAGATTCCATGGCATTAAAGAAAATATAACTATGAAGCTCAACAGCATTCCAAAATAATTATTGCAGTGTTGTTTTGGAGAATGGCACCCAAACTGGATGAAGTATAGAAAAGAAGATTACACTGCAGGTAACAACAGATTAAATTAGATTTTAAGCTCCTTCAATAATTGGAAAAAAAAAAAAAAAACAGCCTGGGAGTTAAATGAACATTCCCATGTTTAATTCAATAAGATTCCACTTGAATGGTCAACTATAATAACTTGCATGTAAAACTATTTATTAAAGATAAGGGTTGCATTACGTGAACATGAAAAGAAATTAAAGGCCAACTTGCAGAACAGAATGAAAAATTTCTAATTAATTTTACAAAAAATATGAAAATCATGTATCAAAATTCAATATTAATGAAATGAAACAGCATAAAAAGACATACTTTAAATTCCAATCTTACCTGATTTCTTTCAGAAAGTAATAATGGTCCACTTCTGTCAATCAGTATGTTGAAAATTTGTATACTAACATTTTGCTCCAGAGCAACTTCTAAGACTGTTTTACCCTGCACACATATAAAAAAGTATGCAGTTTCTTTTCTCATAATATCCGCAATAAATATATAACAAAGCATTTCTCAAATAAGTCACCACATGAATACTGTAATTCTTTTCTTATTATAATACCTGCAATAAATTCAAAGAGCATTCTAAATATGAATGGGACAAAGTTGACATCTTTAAGTTAATATCATAATTCATAGAAAATAAAATCTTAAAATACTATTTAATTAATTCTTTTTTTATGCACACAATTATATTTCAGTGTATCCCCCCCACACACATTTCACAAAGATTTACTCTAACTCGCTTTCACTGCTTTGTTAGAAACTGACTTGAAGTCAGTTTCTAACAAAGCATTACTGTCAAAGGTTAATCCTCTAGAACACAGGTAAGTTTACAGGTTTCTTTTCTGTTTCTAATAAAGCATCATGGTCAAAGGTTAATCATCTAGAACTCAGTAAAGTTTATAGCACTCTTTTTCTTACTGGAGTACTTGATTTTATAATGCCCTAAAACCTTTCAATAATCCAATTTGAGATACAATGAAATAGTTGATTTAGACAGAAAGTTAATTTTCTTGGTGTTCAAATATTTCAAATCAAAATCTTTCAAATAAAAGCTGGTAGCTGAATCCATTCAAAATAAAATATCTTTCTTTTGATGACATTAATTGATTGGAGGAATCAAACCATTTTTAATATGCTAGTTTAAATAAGTATAATCATTAGCATCTTTTAGCAAAAAACTGGTTTAGACCGGTTTAGAAATATTACCTTCTTCATATATGACATCTCATATCATCCCCTCCATTTTTTTTTTCAAATTTTCTTTAATTTTTATCCTAAAGGGCACATATAAAAAAATAAGGAATGTCTAATGATAATACTTAGTGTTACTACTGAGATTAGAATTTGGCCTTAATCTGGTTTTATTTGATTACAGTACTTTCAGTTGCTATCTGCCTAAGGGAAGAGGTGTCTTCAGTGAGGACTTTCCACAGGAAACTGGCTTCTATACATGCTACATGAGGGGAAAACCATGAAAATGGCCATGCAGTCAGTCTATTCATCGGGATTCGAATTTTAGGCCGAGCTACCAGTGTTCAGCGACTTTAGTGCTCAGTTGCTGGTGGTCCCATTTAGATAACAACTAAACATAAAATATAACTCATCACCTATGATGAATTTCTGCCCACTTTCAGAAGAAATCAATTGCTATTAAATTTTTAAACAATTTTTTTTTGCTTGAATTTTTTCTTTTTGTTTTTCTATTTTGAATTTCTTTTTCTGTTACAAGATTTTACATCCAAATTGTTCTTAATCTCATGTATAGTTTATTTTAATATCCTCAGTTTTTGAACAACTTAATGGTTTGAAATGTTCTCAACAATGTTTGCCTTTTGAACAAACTTCTATTTAAGCATTTTCATATTTTTTTCACTTTTTCTTCAGACCTCTTTTCCAAAATTTTAATATATATCAACATATCTGTGCTCTTCACACTGTTTTAAGACTGCTTTTGATGTCTTACATTTACTTTTGATGTCTTATTATTTTTTCTAATGTTTAAACGTAGAATTTTTGACTCTTTTGCATCATAATTATAAAAGTATATTATTTCCCTCTTATTAACTTATGCTAAATGAGGGGCTCTTTTATAAAAATTTTAAACATTTAACTGGAACTGCTATACTGTTCAAAGTAATTAATCACAGCTACAATGGTAACTTGAAAATTTTGCATATTTATCTTTACTGCTTCAAACTTAACCTATATAGTTATCTCATCTTAATTCAGAACATTGCACAAAACTTTTAACACATCGTAAATAAAAATTGATAATAACATACATTAATTATAAACAGTTAAAATTACCTTAGCAGAAAAATTAAAATTACCCTATATAAGATTTTGCATAACATATCTTCTAACTGAGGTTTGCCTTTTGGCAAAAGGGCTTCAATGATGTCAGGTGGTGTATCTATCATTAGAGCAGAAAACAGTACTGGCATATCATACTGCAAGAAAACATTCATTTAAATTAAAACTCTTTAAAGGATAGTTTTATATATTATCAGTAATAAATGTTCAGATTCTAACATTATTAGGGTCCATATCATTTATCTTTACTGTTCAAAGCAGTCAAGCTGTAATACATAGAAAATTTCTAATTCTTCTGTATGTTTTAATAGCCATGATAAATATAGTCGTATTTAGTCATAAATATTTATTAAAACAATAGTGATATTAATTAAGCATAAATATTCATGAGAAAGCACTAAATATTGCAGAAAAAGTTGTAATGAATTATTGGCCATGCTAATCTTAAAAAAGATTTTTTAATTTTCAAATATGTGGTTGTTAAGATGTTCATATATGTGATTATTAATGTGATATTTTGCTCACATTAATAACAATACATTTGAACACATCTGGATTGTATATAATTGTTCTTTTGAAAGATTCAATATACTATTAAAATTATACAGTTTCAAATAATCGTATTTCATATACATAATTTTACTAGCATATAATTCACACCATTTGACAATTTTTTAATATAATAATTAAAATACTTTATACAAGTGCATATATGACAGTTTCATTCAATAATAAAATCAGAAACTAAATTTTGAATAATAAAACTACGAGTATTATGCCAGTTAAAAAAGATTATATTAAAAGAATTCTTAGTGGTTCAGTAACAGAAAATGAATGTAAAATGTTAATAATGTACGGGATGTCTCTAGAAGCCTTGATATATTTTGGAGAAAAAGTAATTTCTCAGTTTTGTTCTAAGAATTAAGAACTAGCTGTACAATGATAACAATGGAAACAAATAACTATTATTGCTCCATATTTAAAAGCATTATTACAACAAACCATTTACATTCAAGTTGAATGTAAATTGGGGAAACTTGTTCCAGCAAGGATAAATATTTGGCTAAATTGTTCACAAATTTGACAGAATGTCTTCATATTGATTGCACTTGGATATGATACAGATATTTATTCAAGGCAAAGAGTAGCACATTCCACACAGTGGCTCATTGCAAATTTAGTTTCTTATTGACAGAGCAAATGGCTAGACAGATTCAGTCAGATTATCATCGCTTGCTGAATGCTTTTCATATTTGCAGATCTGGTGACCTACACAGACATTTTTCATTCACCCTGCTACCTATTCATGTAAACATTTTTTAACAAGTAGCTAAATATTTTCCGTTACATGTAGAAGTTTTCCCATTTTTTTGCACAAATTCAGCTCAAATGGCTTCATACCATAATCCTCTAAAGATGCTGCAGTAACAGCTATTCTTGCCTCAGCTGTTGCTATTCTACAGTTAGTTCTTGATACCTAAGTATCAAGTATTTTTTTATCTAACATTATAACACAACAAGAACAACTAATTTCTCTCACATGATTATAGCATCACTTGCTTCTATGACTATGAAGAAAATTTCTTTTATAGATAAATTTTTGAAAACAATAAACTGCTTAATGAGCAACATTCCTTAACATAAGCTTTAAATATGAATTACTAAAAGTAATGGATCAAATTTCAGAATCTATCAGATATTTGAAGCAGTAATTTAAGCCAAACTATAAATACAAGCTTACAATTTTTTTTTTTTTTTTTTTTTTTTTTTTACTATGCCAATTTTGATTACAACTATTAGAAAATATAAGAAATTTAAATGTTCATATGAACCTACTATGAAAAAAGCTCTGAATCATTTCTTATCCCATTAAAGAATTTATTTTTTAGGGAAGGAGGGAAGATAGAGGAGAACCTGAATTACATAACTTAACACTATTTATCTGAAGAAAATAATGCAGATTTAAAAGTGATATAAAACTGAATTTTCAAAATATTAAATTTCAGCACTTTTGGAAAAAGTAATTTGAAACTAATGTTCTCAATGCAGTTTTTTTTTAATGTAATAAGTATCTCCTAGAAATCTGTATTAAAAAACTTGACATGATTTTGTACATAGCAAAATTTAAATTATTAAATCTTCAGCAATATTTTTACATGGTCCCCCAAAATTTTAATTTATGATATTTCCAGCAATTCTGATTTTGTAAGAGTGATTTTTTTGGTTTATTCATCACATATTAATTTTTTGAATAATTTAATAATTCATATTAATTAATTTTAATTCATATGAGCATTTTTAACCACTTTTCATCTACAAAACAATATTTTCATTGATACTTCTTCCTTAAAAAGCCATACAACAATTTAAGATTTACTAAAAGATGTCACAGGACCAAAATTTCTAGTATCTGAATATTTAACATTTATTTATGTCCCAAACTGGTACTATATAATGGTCTATATATGAGTCTATGCTACGCCATATAAAAGGTATTTAGGTGTGCAATCTTTTCTCAACATTTTGTATTGTTGTGAGCTAACAGATGCCTCTTTAATAAATCACTCCAAATGATCAGAAAGAAACTGACAACTTATTTGGAAAATAATAGTGCACACCAAAAATTAATAGCTATAAATAACTCAAAGAGAATGCAGGTATTTGGCAGATCTCCTTAATACATCAGATGTATGCTCACAGAGTCAACTCAAAAATGTAATTCAGCTAATTCTCTTTAAACTGCAGAGTCTGTGAGCTAAGAAATAACTCATCCTGACTCTTAGTGCCATACTTATATGATGTTGTATAGACTTCTGAAAGCTCTGGGAAAAATCACTTCCAATTCAAAAATGGATATCCCTAAAACTTCCAGAAAATCATTATTTTTGCCCATATTTACATTTATAGCATTTCAACCGTTTTTGCAATTTAAACTTTGTTGGATTCAGAAGCACAAGAATGTGAAAAAAAACATTATAACAACACACACACACACACACACACACAAAAAAAAAAAAAAAAAAAAAAAAAAAAACAGTGTTATCAAATGCATTGAAACAATTACAGAATTTACATTATCAATACATTCATAAAATATATAAAATGCAGATTTTCTAAGTGCTTTTGTTGTTTCATAAGGACTTCTTTGACTTTTGACTTTTCATTAATATTTTTCTTAATAAAATATTGCTATCAATTTCAATTTAACATTTAAAAATTTCTGATTTTCAGCTATATGATTTTTTCCTCTATTTTATAGATTAGGTAATTTAGCTAGTAATTTTGCTTCTAATTGACAAACACTTTATTTTTATATTATTATTATAACTATATTCAGAAATAAAAATCAACTTATTCTTTTTCTAATTTCTTTTTTATTATTCTATTTTATTATTACTCATTTCTTCGTTTGGCCTTTTTAAATGTTTTTAATCAAATACTTTTAAAATAGTATTTTAAAAGATATTTTCTTTGAAATTCCCATTATGAGATGACCCTTTCTATTTAAGAAAATTGATTATTATTTCTCTGTAATGAAAGGCCACATCAAGGGCAAAAAAACAATTACCTGCTGCAGACATTTTCTGCCTTATTAACAGAAAAAAAAAAAAAAGAAGGGTAAAGGGTTATTCTCAGACTTTTGAAATATATTTTATGAATTTTACATACATTTTATAAATTTTCATCACTAAATTACGTTCTTTTCTTAATAAATAATAATCTTTTATTTCAGATTATTAAAAGATTTCAGCTAAAGTTATGTCTTCAGATAAATATAAAATTTAAATGAAACTTAATTAAAAAAATAATCCAGATATTATACAGCAAAACACCTACTGATTGAACTAAACTTGGCTCACCTATATGGTGGGAAAAAAGCAATAATAAATCAGCAGCTTGTAAAATTAGTTACTTTCAATTTTTTTTTAATATTAGCTTCTATTTATTGCTTCATTCTTTAGAAGCAAATACATAATTTATAATGAAAACAAGTGATTTACATGAATTATATATAAATTAACGTAGTGTGGAATATTTATCCAAAAATGACCAGCTCATCAAAATGTATATTGCTTATCAAACTAGCAGTAAAATATATACTTGACAAGATGGATGCAAGAAAAGAAATCAAAAAGGTCACTCATTATAATCAATAATACCAATATAATAAATTGTATTACAATGTACTAGACTTTTTAACAACAATTTGATTCAAAGAAAAATTTTTAATTTGGATGGTGAAAGAAAATAAGAGTCATACAGAATATCCCAAATAAAAGTATACTCAAATCATATTGCAAAGCATACTAATTTGGCTTTTTGTGATATATTTAAGGACAGTAGGTTTTTTATAGTATTATATGCACAACAGAATAGGATGTTATGTATATACCCATGTCACATGCACACTAATAAAAGCAGGGTTGTATTGAAATTCAATCTCAATAGAGTTTTATTTGAAATACTTTGGTTGAAATACCTAGGTTGAGCTTTCTAATAATACTTACTCCCTGTGAATCTTGCATTATTGTATATATTTGACAGCCATACTTTATAAATAACTCAACAGCCGATACATCTTTAGATTGTATAAGATAATACAAAATTGGTGCACCTCTGTCACTCTATAATGAATACAGACATCATACATATATTTGATTCACAAATATAAAGAAACATGAGTAAGTTTTAAAAAAAAGTGCATGCATTGAAAATGAATCTTAAAAATATCACTAAATAATCAACTGTACATTACTATTGCATAAAAGAGTGCATGAAATTATATTTTTAATTTAACAAAATATGGCAATAAATAGTTTTCCATCTACAAAATAATCTCAATTGGGTATTAATATAATCACATTAATATTCCAATTATCATTTAAAATGATACTCATTACATCTGCAGTATTCTAATCACAATAAATTAAACTCTTCTTTGCAAATCTTAAAAAGGTCCACAATTTCAAGCGGCATACATAAAATTTAGCGCACATGCAAAAAATGCACCCATAAAGTAGACAGAGAATTTCTTATATGTAATAAAAATATTAGTAATCTTCAAACGTTATTAATCTTTTTCAAAATAATTGCTAGAGGAGTCTGTACAATTTTTTCAATCTTTCTTCGGCTCATCGAAACACTGTTTATAGGTGTTGGAACTAACTGTTTGCAAAATACACAGAAAATTTGATTTAATATCTGAGATTTTTTTCTCTTAAATATCTGCCCTTTCAGGACCATCTTAACTTCAGGATAAAAATTCACTAGCAGTAAGTCAGAAGAGGTGGGTGATTTACCACTGCAATTGAATGCTTAGCATGTTACTGTTGTACAGACAATGTTGAATAGGGCCTAGTTTTATTGTGTAAAAAAATAATTGTTCAGAATCAAAAGTTTCTTCCTAACTCAACTTATCCTGTTTCCTGATCCAAAAACCTTGTAAAAATACAGATTAATGAATTGATTTTCAGCAAAACATGCATGGTGAACAAGTCCAACAAACTTTCTCCACATTTACCTCATTCTTTAGCATTGAAGATCATGCTATCTTTGGCTCATCTTCTATGCCTTTGTGCCCACATTTAAAGCACTTGTGCCTCTCATACCTTTGTGTTCTAGATAACGATGCATTACCATATACTGTTTGAATCACATCAAAAATTTCGGCATCAGATTTACTTAATTTGTAACAAACTTTAATGTTATAACATTGTTCCATCTCAAAGCAATTTTTTTATACACTCAAGATTCAAAACATTATGACCAGCCCTACATTTTGCGATGAATGCATCTGGATGACGTGGAAGGCATGTGATCAGGTGGAAGTGGTATTTAACTGCTGCTGGAGAGTCTGAAGAATTATTCTTTTGCTTACTTCTGTGTGTGATGGGAAAGGCTGAGGATCTAAGCGACTTTGATTGAGGGCAGATTGTAACGGCTCAAAGGCTCGGAACAAGTATTTCCGAAACTGCACGACTCGTGGGTTGTTCATGATCTACAGTTGTTAGTATGTATGAAAAGTGGATGAATGACAGTGAAACCAGCAGTAGACGACATGGTGTTGGACCTTCACACACTATCAAAGAAAAAGGTCGTCGGAGACTGTCTCGCATGGTGAAGCAAAACTGAAGCCAGACAGTGGCTCAGCTGACAGCCGAATACAATGCAGGGCCAAGTAGAAAAGTATCAAAGCACACTGTTCAGTGCACACTGTTGGATATGGAGCTACACAGCAAACGTCCCACTCGTGTCCCTTTGCTGACCAAGCGTCATCGCCAACTGCGGCTGCGCTGGGCCCGGGAACATCGCGACTGGTCCATGGATCAGTGGGAGAGAGTTGCCTGGTCAGATGAATCATGGTTTGTCATGCATCACGCCGATGGTCATGTCAGGATACGCCGTCTTCCAGGCGAACAGTTGCTCCCTCAATGCACAGTAGGTCATACATAGGCCGGTGGTGGCAGTATTATGCTCTGGGGTACATTCTCTTGGGCGTCTCTGAGACCCGTGGTTGTGGTGGAGCAGACCATGAATGCTACAGAGTATCTGAGTATCATTGCGGACCAGTTGCACCCTTACATGGCCTCTGTTTTTCCAGCTGGAAATGGAATGTTCTAACAGGACAACGCCCTGTGTCACAAGGCTACAATTGTGTTGGAGTGGTTTCAGGAACATGATGCTGATTTCCAGTTAATGTCCTGGCCGCCTAACTCACCGGATCTCAATCCAGTAGAACACATTTGGGATGTCGTGGGACAGCAGCTCAGAGGTCAAAGACCACCAATTCGCAATATCTCGGATTTGTGTGACTGTTGCTACAACATCTGGTACAATCTGTCTCCGGCCATCTATCAAGGACTTGTGGCATCCATGCCAAGGCAGGTTAAAGCTGTGTTGCACGCCAAAGGTGGCCCAACTCGTTATTGACAGGTGGTCATAATGTTTTGGCTCTTGAGTGTATATCTTCTCAGTAAATGAAAATGATTCTGGTGTTTTGATATGCAAATGGAAAAATAATAAATCATATTGACTTGAGTTGAGATGTCACTTCTTCTATTCTAAACAAACATTTATTCTTTCGCTTTTTAATTTTATCATTTAGTAGTCTAAACTAGCTGTGGCGAAAGTTGAGGCGTCACTCTTTCTAAACATACATTGATTCTTTTGCCTCTTTATTTTAATATTTGTTCTTTTAATTTGTCCAGTTACTTTATGGGTGCACCTTGTATATGTAGCATCACAAGGTACTTTGAAAATGAAAAAGAGTTGCTCTTAAAGTATGACCTAAAAGTAACACAATAGTAGCATAATGTGATAATTTTTGTGTATTATGTATATATACACAAAATGTAGTATCAGAAAAAAGGTCTGGGAAAACATAGCATTAGCTATTTTATATATTTTTTAAAAATCTACTAATACTTTTTTATATTTATCTCTCACTGCTTTCGTATATGAAAAGCTTATTTGCTTTCTTTCCTTTTTTCTTTCTCTTTTATTTAATCTCTTTAAAAAAAATAATTTTTTACAACACATTTACAATTAAAGTTAAACCGTTTGAAATTGTAAGTCTAAACAACCAGTTAATAATGTAAACTAGATATAACCAATGTGACTCAACATAACTCATTTTCAACTATTTGATGCCTGGAGTAGGCTGATCATCATAGCAGTATAAATAAATATAAGAATATTGTGGATTAAAAAAAAAGAAGAAAGAAAGAAAAAAGAGAGATTTAATGCAAGATTTGAAATAATGATTTTACATTTTCAGTACAGCCTCATTAGGCAAACTGTATTTTGTATATTTAGTACCCAACTAAATCACATAAAGTGGCTTAAAAATAACCATTTAAAGGGAAATTAAAAATTTACCTAATTTGTACAAACTGAAATTCTTTAATTTATTTATTGCTTAACAATGACATATATATTAAAAATAAATTAAATTACAAAAAATTACCATTTTTCGAAGATCAAGTCGAATTTTTTTCCGACATGTTTCCAACATTTTGGTTACTGCTTTGATATTTTTTGCTAAGATATGATAAACCAAATTCTACAAAGAAACAAATACACACTGAGATTAAAAATGCATTTATTTCAATTTATTTCATTCACAATATCACACACACATTTAATGTTGTTACATAAATAGACACATTCTTTCACTTTTATTTTTTTTACAAATATTCTAAAAAAACATTTTAGAAACTCAACCGAAATAACAAAAGAGTGCAAATAAATGAATAAGATACATTTACCATAGATTCAAACACTCCAAGGATCAAACTTATAATTTCTTCATTGCCAGTTTGAAGTGCAATATCTTTTAAAGAGACTCCATTCTGCGGAAAATCAAATTAAATTATATTTACATTTTCCTTTCATACATTATTACATGTTCAAGATTTTAAAGTTTTTCTTTAAAATGTTATGTTAATATAAATTTAAGAGCAAAATATTCCTAAAGATAACCATAAGAACCAGCAACTCTAACTATTAGCCTGGATCTAAGTAACTATACATATAATAGCTATTAGCCTCGACCTCACATTCACAGGTCGTTGCAAGATTTTTTTTTTGGTGGGGGGGGGCACTTAGCTTATATACGAATTCAAGTTTTCCCTGACTACAGTATGGTACAGTAAAAGCCTAACTACCTGGTACTAAACTAACTGGAAAGGTCAAATTTTAGGAATTTTCGGAAAGGATTTTTAGAATTTAAAAAAAGAAAAAAAAAAAAAAAAGTAACAAAAAATTATACAATTGAGAGACTTGTAAAAGCGTTAGAAAATACATACAGAATTACTACTCGGAATTTCGCTCATAACATCTAAAATGCAGATACATGTACATGGCTCTCTTTCAGAAGATGTTTTTAAACCTTCTACACCACTGTACTCATCATATCCCAACAATTTGCTCTTGGAACTACAAACTTTTCCTAGAGGCTTGTCCCATTAAGCCATTTTTGACAATTAGAAATAATCACAGATTTAGAACTAATAATTGCTAAGCATAATGTCTCAAACAATCATAAGATCTTAACTCTGCTTTTATGTAAACTTGCTTAATCCTAGAAAAGTGAATTTAATTTCTGTAAAGAAGGATATAAGCTAACTGCTATTCATCTATTTTTCTCTCACATTTTGAAAAAAGTATTAAAATTTGGAACAATAGAGCAGTTTAAATGTTACGAGATCCTGATATCAAGAGAAGTTGCATTAGTGGGTAGATTATGTTATTTTTATTAGAAAATGGATAAACAGTGGCGAAGCAATGTGAAAAATTATGACGAATGACATAAAAATTAAGACGAATGATTTACATATTACGATGAAAGATTTAAGTTTTTTTATAAGCTATATCTGCAATTTGTATATATTGATTACTTACTAAATAAAGAGTGGCCTGTTCCTTCAAACTTGTTGCAAGTTTGGCAGTTCACAGCCCTATTTCATGGTTGACGGGATTTCATAATGGGTCGAGATACTTTACCTTTATATGTTTAAAGCCTATGAAAATATACTACCCTATGTCTGATTTTTTTTAAATAATTTTAAATATGGGCTTTTTATTATATACATATAGTGATTGTTTTCATAATTTTAGGTGGAAATTTCTTCTTTCATTCATTTGGCTTTTCTACCATGAATTCCTTTTTTTATACGCTCAACTAATTTTGATTATTTGGCACTCAGCATTTTCCAAACTTTTACTGTATCTTAATTATTAGAAATACTAGCCTAATTTTCTAAACAAATCTTTCCCATATGTGGAATGCTGAATTCCATAATAATAAGCAAACAAGACTAGACACATAGATCTTGAGTATTAGCTAGCACCCATGGATGCACTACCAACAATCTATTTGTGCCTTTCAATAATTTCAATGTACACTGCTCAAAAAAAAAAAATGGGACAGTCCTATATCTCCCGATCTACTGGGCCGATTGACAAAATTCAAATTGTGTTCTTCATGTCTCGAAAGCGCGACTTAGGATATATATTAGATTTATATATAGCACTATTCTATCATAGGTATTTTGACACAAAATCGGACTTTTTCTGAAATAACATACCAATTTTTTTACATATTTCGATTCTACGACTCAAATTACGCCTAAATATGAAATTTTGTAAAATTTGGAGCGAAATTTACGGAGAAATTCACAAAATTTATGTTGGCACTTTTTTGTCAGTTTGCGCCAAGAATACTTCACTTGGCGAACTTCTTAATATATGGCACCCTAGTTTCCTTAGGAAAAAAAGTCACCATCGTTCCTTTTTTCCAAAATAAATATCTTTATATTATATTTTAATTATAACTTATTATTTTAAGTAATTTTTTTCTTTTCGAATTTCATTTTAATTGTTTAAGTTGCACTTTTTTTTCTTTTTTTTTTTTTCGAATAACTGTTTTAAAAATTTCTATTTACCTATTCGAACTGCGTAAATAAAGGTGCAGCGTTTATTTATTTTTTTTTTTCAAATAGTTTTCTTTATATATCTTTTTCGTCATAGCTATTATTTTAGGTCATTTTTAAATTTATATACTTTTATTTTAATTGTTTGTGTTGCATTGTCTCTTCAGATAATTGTTTTAAAATTTTCTATTTATTCCTTCGAAATGAGCATTTTAAATATATTTATTAATATCAATTTTCCAGAATTTGATTTTATTTATTTGCACTGCGTTTTTTTCGGAAGAATACTTTGTAACCCAGACTACGATGCGTTTGAAAACTGCATACTATATTAAAAGAGAAAATACAGTAAAACACAGTTTTACACGCCTTTTAATGTTCTGTTCAGAAAAAATATATATAAATAAGAGAGATGTATAACCGATATTTTAACTTAGGATGACTTGCATACACTGCTTTAAACAGTTTTATCATTGTGCCCATTGCTTTACACAATTTTATTCTACATTGGTTTCTTAAAATGTTATTCATATTTTAGTCAAATATTTTATTTTTGAAATCGCAAGAATCAAATATCATAAGATTTGAAAAGATTGAAAAGTTTTAAATTTAAAAAATACGAATACTAAATTTTACGAAAAAATTTATTTTTCTTCTCTGTTTCTTTAAGCATTCTGAAAGTATATTGAAAAGTATCTAATTTTCGAAAACATTTTGGTATTTCTGACAATCATTTTAAATAAAGTTATCGCCTTCCATTTCATAAAGGCCCACAAACGGCCGAGCGGTAAAGTTGCTGAACACTGGTAGTTCACTCCGGGGTTCAAACCCCGGTAAACGGGCTGGTTGCATGGGCGTTTTCGTGGATTTTCTCATGTGTACCGCGTATGACAGCTGGTTTCCCTTAGAAAGTTCTTCACGAAGTATTTCGTCAGAGCCTTTATCAGTCTTTAGAGGCTAAACATTTTGAAGCTATGAGATGAAAGGAAAGACTGGTTTCATCAAAAGGTTTTTGGTTATTTTATTATGACAAAGCACACTACGGCTATCTGCCTAAGGGGAGGGATGCCTTCCTGGAGGACTTTCTAAGGGAAACTGGCTCGCATACACGTTACACATGGGGAAAACCACGAAAACGCCCATGCAGCCAGCCCGTTCGCGGGATTCGAACCTCGGACCGAACTACCAGTGTTCAGCGACTTTACCGCTCGGCCGCTGTTTCATCAGGAAGGGAAAAAAACATCTTTAAGTGACATCCACATACATCACTGGATAAACTCCTGAATCTTCAAATAATTCGACTGAGGAAATAATGGGATTCACCATTTATGATATGATATGATGTTCTATAACGTAATTTACACAATCATATAGTTTAAAACCAGTCGCTCTTCACTTTAATCTGCAATGATATCGTTTTGTCTTTTCTGTTAACACAAGCTCAATTGATGGTATTTGCTGGGTACTCGTCCAAGTGTTTTCTCTTTGAACACCTAAATTCTTTGAAGTATCCTGAAAGTATATTCGAAAGCGTCCAACTTTTTGAACATCTTGGTACGTCTGACAGCCAAATTTCCCTGCAAATTTTTGCTTACTTTTCTCCCTAATTTTCTTCTTTCCTTCTACAGTTATTTTCAGTGCTCACACAAGAAAATTAAGATTTTTCGACTGCTAGACTTCCATACATTTTGCATTCTTGTCAATTTTTTAAAATATCAATTATATGAATTGCGTTTCAGCTAAAGACAGCTTTTCATTTTCTAGTCATTTTAGCTATAAATAAAGTTTAAAGCGAAGTCCAAAGGATAAATATTTTAATTAAAAGATTTTTGCCTAAATGACAAAGAAATAAAACAGTCCAGCAGGGTTTATTCTGTACCACAGAGTAAACCCGATTCTTATATCGGCTGAAACCATCTAAATCATATTAAAGATCATGTTTTTTTTATACAATCTATAACGCGAGAGAAAAAATTAGCTTCTTTTAAAACATGCTTTCTAAGAGAATTAATATAAAAATTTATATTTATGTATATATTTTTTAAAGTTGGGACTTGAACCAAAGTGTCAGACTTTTAAAGCTTATTTTACATGGTGGTTATATTAAAGTTCCACTTTGAAATGGTCATAAAAGGAAAACTACCGGACCAAATGTTATCAAACTTGGGAATCGTGTAAAGGAGGTTATGAGAATTATTTTCGTCGGAAAAAAAAAGAGTTCAAAAACTCACCTTCAGGGGAAAAATGGCGCTGTATACAATATTGTTAAATGAAATAAGACACGAAAACATCTGTTTAAAATGTGTTTAATATTTTTAATGGTTTTGGTTTGGTTTATTAGATTACGGCAAAGCACTCGAGGGCTATCTGCCTTAAGGGAGGGATGCATTCGTGGAGGACTTTTTAAGGGAAACTGGCTCGTATACACGTTACACATAGCATATCAGGAGGAATGTTATCAGTGTATCACATTTTTCATTTCTGCCAAATTGTTTAGATTATCACCATAAACAGTGCTTTGGAGATAACCTCATAGACAAAAGTCACAGAGGTTGAGGTCTGGTGGGAAGAGGGGAAGTGTTGGCCTATAAGACGTTCATTCGTGAAATGTTGCCTAAGTAACTATGCGACACTCTTGAGGTGGTGTCCAGCCCTGCATAAAAATCGTAGTATCTAAAATGCCACGTTACTGCAGTTCATGTATCATGAAACATTTTAATATTGGCTCTAAGTGAGCTGCAATCGCAGTGGTCCAGCTGTCGACTGCTCTTCAGAAAAAAATGGTTCAGTTATAAAACTAGCTGTCATTCAACAGTAAACGGTGTAAAATGACTGTTATGTAATCGAATGCAGTAGGAGAATGCAATGGAACTAGATAGATAACATGAGAGATTTCTTTGGCCCAAATCGATTAAAAG